GAACATGTTTATGCCGTTGAAAATCCGCATGCAATAAAGGTAAACCATTTTCAGCACGAATTCAAAATTAATGTGTGGGTTGGAATAATTGGTAATTTCATTGTTGGTCCTGTCATACTTCCTCGAAGATTAACTGGAGAAAATTATTTGGATTTTCTACAAAATACGTTGCCAGAATTGTTAGAAGATTTACCTCTCCAACTTTGAAGAGATATGTGGTTTATGCAAGATGGAGCTCCACCACATTTTTCTTTAAACGTTAGAAACCACTTGAATGAACAATATCCACACAAATGGATAGGCAGAGGTAATGACGCACCTGTAAACTGGTCACCACGTTCCCCAGACCTAACACCGATGGATTACTTTTTATGGGGACATCTGAAATCCACACTTTATAGGGAACCTGTAGAAAATGAGGAACAACTCTGGCAACGTATTCAAGATGCAATAAACAATCATAGAGGTGATGAAGAAGTTATGGAAAGGATACATTTTAATTTTCTTCGACGTATAAATCTTTGTGTGCGTGAAAATGGTGAACATTTTAAACAATTTTTGTAAAATCTCTATTTTGATTATGTTGTAAATAAATATTTTTGTGAAACATTTACACTCTAAATTATTAAAACAGAAATTTAGCGAAAACCATGAGAGTAATCGAGTCTTATCAGGAGTAAATGAGTTGCGCAATCTAAATTTTATACTCAAACTCCTTTTCTTCCATTAGCGTAGAATTTTTAAAGGTGCAATTATTTAAAAAATCAAGTTCTACGCCTATGTATTATTATCGGACAAAATTTTAATACCATTTTTTTTCCCACATAAAACTTTACCAATATACCAAATTTCAGCAAAATCGCATATGCCGTTTTAAATTTATATGGGAAAAACGATTTAAAAATTGTAACTTCAAGGCCCTCTGGAGCCCAAACGAAGCAACGTTGTACTGAGGTAATTTTACTAAAATCGACTTATTTTGATCTAAGGAATATGTGGTATGTTTTTGTAAAGACCTTTTACAGACACTTTGTATTAAGGCATTCTGCAGCTTCTTGTTTCATCTTACCTTTCCTTGAATTTCACAAGAGAATATTCTCTAATTAAGCATGTCACAACCGATGTTGTTGGTCCAATGGAAGAACTAGGTCCAAAAGAAGTATTTAGTTGACTACTTTCTTGGCTATTGACAAGACTTCGACTAAAGCATGGTAGTATTCTAGTACTAGCCCTGAGTAAATTCATCAAATAATGTAAAAATAACTAATTAAGGTAGTTCACTCGTAAAACAGCTTTTCTTAAGAATTCAATAAAATTTAAATATAAGGTTTATGAAAGTGTCGTTTACGTAACTAAAAAAAAAAAAATAGATTTTTTTGACCATCTGTGAAACGAGATATTAACAATAAAAATGTGCATTATTAACACTCTTGAAGCCTATCATGTACACAAGCAATGCATTTATTTCAAGATATCTCGAAAACGGTTCTTACCATATTTTTTAAAAACTAATGTTAAATAAATAAAGAAGTTATAAAATTTTATAAATAATCGCTGAATTTTTTGACCGTCTTAGTAAAAAGATATAGATTTTTAAAATAAAAATATTTTTAAAGCAGTTGACGAGTAGTTTCTTAAAATTATTACAACTTGGCAACATTGTAGCCACTTCACGTAACAAAGTAACACTCGATCAGCTAAGAGGTTGTTATAAACTCGCAACATATTCTTGAAAAATTAATTCGTCCACTGTGTTTGAGAACTGGAATCAGCGGTTCTGTTTGAACCAAAACAAACCCTTAAAATTAGTATGAGGAAGTCACAAATTTCTATACCATATCGTTTAAATATTTGCGAGTTTGCCGGATGAAATTGAATAAAATTATAACTTGTCCATATGTGTTTATTTACATGTGTTTTGTACAGTCTCTTACAAAAATAAAATTTATTAGCATTGAGAATCTCGAACTTTTGGCACAGCTTATACAATACAGCTAAAACACTCTCTTGGCGGCAACGGTTTGCGTCGATTTCGTCGCGCATCGCTTAAGCTCCGCCTTCGAAGGGAAAAGACGGTTTTGGCGTTCAGAATCGTACTTAGGTAAGTTGTTGAGTCGTGCGTATAATTTCGTTGATTGTATAATTTCGTGGAGCCTATAATTTCGTTGATTTTGTTTGAGTTAAAGGTACTGTTATTATTTTGGTGACTCTTTAGCTGTGAGTAGAATAATTAAAAAAAAAAAGACATCATTCTGTTTGTGCAGTCAAAATCTGTTTTAATAAGGGTTATACCTGCAAAAAAACATTCTTTAGTTTTCCCAAGGACCCAAACCGATAAGTACCACATTATAAAAAATTTTCATTGTTAAAAATATAATTTATACAGGGTGTCCCATTAGTGCGTTATTGTTCATTATTTTGTTGTAGACACGCAAGAAAGTTTTAAATAAAAGTTATATGAATTTGAAAAATACCTACATATTTTAAAAATATCTTTGGATATACAGGGTGTCACGTTTTTGCCTGGCAAATTAAAATGTATGTTTTTTAAATGGAACACCTTGTATTTTATTTTATGATGAAATTATTAACACCCTAAATTATTGTAAAGACGAATTGCTACAGCAAAATTTTATCAGGTATGTTTGTGGTTACCTTTTAACAAAAGCCTTGCGGATCCACTCCTGCGATACCTGTCTTAAATATAACAAAGATCACGTTGAATTAGATGATTTTTCTTTTTATTGCTTTTTAAATGCATATGATAACGCCAATTCAGATACATTTGGAAATCTGCAACTGTCAAATGATGAATTTGTAGAACTAATATTCAATATTGAAAAGATATTTTAAAATAATTTTGAAGAATTGGCTACAAAAAATAACATTTGTACCACACTTTTAGAATTAATTAACCCAATACCCTTTAGTCATCCATGCTAACGTTTTCCAAAAGAATAACTTATTTTATTGTATGTTTAATCTCAATAACTAAAAAATATACTGACAATTAGTTTGACAGAATTGTCATTTATTTAAAATTTTAAAAATAATAGCAGTCGGTTGATTAAAATATGAACGGTGATTGGCGAATTTATTTTTTTTGCAGTGTTCTCACTACCTAGAATGGATATGAAATATATTCGTTCAATTGAAGGCAATAGCATAAGTTTTCGTTTTGTAATCTGTGCATGGATATTAGCCAATCTACGCACATACTACAAAACGAAAAAGTATGTTATTGCGTTCAACTACGAATATATTTCATATCCATTTTAGGTAGTGAGAACACTTTAACAAAATTAAATCTACAAATCACAGTTCATATTTTGGTCACCCAACTCCTATTATTTAAAAATTTTTAAATAAGTGACAATTCTGTTAAACTGATTGTCAATATATATTTTAGTTATTGGTATTAAATATACATTAAAATTTTTGTGTAGACTCGATAAATAAGAGCATTTTTGTTTTTATTGTGTCCACATTTAAAAAAAAATAAATTTTTATCAAACTACATGATACTAATTTAATTACGAGTATTAAAACTAAAGTCCTGAAAGTTTCGGTGAAGATGAGGACAAAGCATCTGCCTTCCACGCGAAAAGCCCGGGATCGAATCTAGGCCGAGGACTAATTAATTTTTCATGTTTATTTTATTTTATAAATTAGTCCAACTTCGTAAATTATTTTAAAATTAGTTATTTTGTCTAAATAACCTAAAATAATTTTTTAAATTTGTAGATTTTCGTTAGTGGGTCGTAGAAAAAATATACTGACCATATCGAGTGGATTGTTCATATCACAATCAGACGATTGAGTACTCCGCCTACGACGTCGTGCTCAAACTTCGTCTTTGTGTAATATGGCTATCATATCCACCCTTGTTGAACAAACTACAATTTATTTGTTTTCTTGGTTTAAGTTTTACATCAGAAATAGGAACTAAATTAATTTACTTTTCAAGTTTTCTTGTAAAAATCGATATTACTTTCTCCAAGTACAAATTTAGTACCTACCTAAAATAAGTACTAATTATGTAATATCGTGTAATATTGTAATTCAAATTTCACATTACTATAAAATTTCAAAATTCCCTACTTCGGTATGGTCAGATAAAAATTGAATATATTATATTAATAAATATTGTCAATGTATTACTTTTACAAATCTGTATTTCAATTAATAAGAATACATCTAAATAAAACCAATATTGTTAAAATAAAAGCACAAATTCTTTATAATTTCAAAAATACCATAGAGTTACCAGACCTCAGTCGAAGCAATCGTTTATCTAGGTATAAACCCTTTGCGCGAATAGTAACACTTGCCAGAGACACGGGGTACCACTTGATTTGCATCCACGAGCGTGACACAATTCTTTAACAATTGAAGCCCTTGGTGTAAAAAGGATCCAAGCCACAATTTGTCGTGAAGTGACTGTTTTAGCTCAAAACATTTGTTAACGAGGATTTTACTAGCCACATACAAATTATTTTACCTCTAATCCGAAAGATGTGCTATTTTTCGCAATATTTAAATTTAAATAATTTTTTTAATTATATTTAACAGATTTAAAACAAATTAAAAATTTAATTTTCCATAACTTACTTAATATGGCATGTAACCAAACTCATTACGCCAAGGTTTTCAATTTTTTCAATAATAAAAAAATTGCTTAATCCGGGCCCGACTTTTCCCTTTAATCTAACAGAGATAGCACCATTCCGTCTTGCTTGGTTCTCGACCGCCAGATCAAAGACGCCGACACGGAGTTGTGGAGCTGTATTGTATAAGCTGTGCTTTTGGTATTCACCATTACGCGATATTTTTATGTACGACTGTCGCGAGTGAACTACCTTAAATGTATACAGTTAGTTTCAATAAAAAAGGCATGTAGTTTGCTACAGCAAGCTATTTGAAAAAAAAAATAATAATACACTTTTTAAAATTTCTTTTATTCAGATTAACACGACAATAATATTGTTAAAACAAATTATTCAATGAACTATGTTTAGATTTGATTCTGCACTTTGTAGAATACCGTGAATCATACTCTTGCTGTCATTTTTATTTTCTTCATTTTTTTCGCTTTCTGATGAAGATGCTTCTGACAGTAATGGTTTGACTCTCTTTTTTGTAATAAAAACGTTACATGCAAATTTTAGTTCCAGTTTAAGGGCTTGCATATATGTAATCTAAAAAAATATAAAGTACCATTAAATGAAATCAAGTTTAAAATAAATTTGATCAACAATTTTTGTTTTGAATTTGTCGATTGCTAAAATAAAATTAAATAGACAACACAAGACGGTTAAGTTAATGAGAAAAATATATCTGAAGATAAAGATGCTAAGATATGTTATTTAGCGAAAACCGCGGAAAATTTAAAAATATCATATCTGTATGTTATACAGTGGGATACCATTTATGAAATAAAATAATTTTTGCGTTATTTTAGAAAATTTTAAAAATGCTCGGACATAAATTTTTATTTTTTTAAGGAGGTCCTTTCGTCACCCCTTTCGCCACCAATGTTAAATAAAAAATATTAGATTATGACTAAAATTTATTTTTTTTTCTTGAAGTCCTTATTTATCTAATAGTGAACTTTTAACTATACCTTACCGTGCAAATGTTTGAGAATTTTTTTTTTAAAAAAGTAACCTAGTTGAAAATTATTTGTTATTTTTTAATATTAATTTCTTAATAAATTCCACGGTAACCTATATATTTTATTGTAAAAAACAAAACCTAAATATTTCAAAAACCTTATTTTTATTTTTTTTACTCTGTCTAATCAATAAATAATAGTATACTTAATTATAATTCGAAAATTGTTATTGAAGTCTTACTTTCTCGTAAGACACTGTACAAATACTCACATTTAAAAAAAAATTCTCAAAAATTTGCATGGTAAGGTATAGTTAAAAGTTCACTATTAGATAAATAAGGACTTCAACTATTAGAAAAAAATTAATTTTAGTCATAATCTAATATTTTTTATTTAACATTGGTGGCGAAAGGACCTCCTTAATATAAAAATGTTATCCCAAAGGACCCCCCACACGACTAATGTTAAATATCATAAATTTTTGATGTGTTGCAATACTCGACCTCTTAAGCAATAGTGTACATGTGACCATTTAAATCCTTTGACTGGTTTTTGAAATACAGAGTGTTAAAATTAAGAAATACCACTTCTTTGATAATGGTTATTTCAGGAGAAAGCTAATCGATTATAATTTTTTGCGCAAAACTTATTTTAACATCTATTGGCATTCTAGAATATAAAAAGGGTCAAAAATTATTTTTCTTACATGGTGATTTAATGGTAGATTAATAGTTAATTTATCGAGTGTGTCAACAAAATTTGATAAGTCACCGTGTACTTTTAGTCCCATAAAGTATAACGTGTTCGGTGTGGAAAGGTAGGTATTTAGTAATCAGTATTTAACGTAGGTTCACTAAGTACAAGCGATACTTAACACAGCAGCGAGACCGTACGACATGACCTGAACATGAACACCGAAGGACAGCCATTGCAGTATCGCTGACCTGCTACCCGATTCTGATTGACGTTTTCGGGACGTGATGCACAGAATAAAGATAGTACCAGTAATCGCAGTGGCTAAAATCGGTGTCCAAAAACAAAACTCGCGCAGCACCGTTGCGCAGATATGGCCGACTTTCTGGATTTGACACTGAAGTCGTGAAACATAACCTGTTAGTTTGTTTTGTACAGTCGTTGTTGTCAGTTGTTGATGTGTTTAGCGATTATTAAGTGCTTATCAAATTATTTTTCGTGTGAACTTGTGTTATTTTTCACAATGGTGAATTATTGTGGCGTGTACAATTGTAAAAACAATAAAAGGGACAAACCAAAGTTGAGTTTTTTTACATTGCCCAAGGATCCTATCAAGTAAGACGCTAAAAATGCTTTTTGTTTATAAATACTAAATATTTCCTTTAATTTTTTACCCATAAAGATTGTTCTAATTCTCTATATTATATTCATGGCATTATTTCAGACGATTTTTTAATTTTTCTTTAAAAAATGCATATTTTCAATTTTTAAAACTTTGAAGACAACTTTTTGTGCAGTTTAAATATTGAAATACCTATGTATATAGTAAATTTGACCGAAAAATTATGTTTTACACTTCTTTAACCTGTAATTGAAGCTTTTTCATTTAGTAAGTACATTGTTGAAAAATAATAATTTCAAATATCACAGCCTCAGTTAAAAAAATAGACGTCTAAGAACAGGCACACAATTTTTTTTGTTTTAAAAGAAAATATGCAGAGGATTTTATGAGTTCTAAAAGGAAAATACCACTTATTTAATTTTTTTATACATTTTCAAAAAATATATAATAGAAGTCATTTTATTATGCCCACAATAATATGGTTGGTGAAATCTTGTTAAGCCAGTAAGAATGCTGATTTTTCAATTTTTTTCATGCAAATTGTATGGCTAAAGTAATGCTGATTTTTTTTTTTCAGGCAAATTGTATGGCTAAAATTAATGGGAAAAGAAGAATGAGTTTTGCAGGATTCTAAAATAATTGCTGGACGCCGAATATGTAGTGAGCATTTCTCAAAAGACAATATATCTGGAACAAGACTGAAGAAAGATGCTGAGCCTGACATATTTAATGATGGAGAGGGTTTTAAAGGTATTTTTTATTTTGAATTAATTATAATTTCATGCACAGATTATGTTTTCCTAATTTTGTTTGTTACTCAATTCACCACCTTTATTTAATCCCTTTACCCGATTCTTAATATTATGTGAGATAATCCCAGTAGTGTTAAAACCTTATTTTATCAATTTAAACACAATTATTATTTAATTAGTTCATTCCCAGAAGAGGTAAATCAATATACCATTTTAAACATTAAATTATTGCTTAATTACTTTAATCTCCTAGGGTTAAAACCTTATTAAATTAATTTATGTAAATATAATTATTATTTGATTAATATAGTCACAGTAGTGTTCATTATACCAATTTAAACACAAAATTATTGCTTAATTACTTTAATCCCCTAGGGTTAAAACCTTATTATATCAATAAATTAAATTTTTTTTATAAAGGTGTAATAAATCTTTAAACTTAGGGTTTATTTAATATTAAACTTTGACATAAATTGGCACAATGATTAACTAAATGGATAAGAGTTGGAACATACTATAAAATAACAAACAGGTATATAATACAAAAAGGGTTTATTCTAATAATTCTATATTTTCATCAAGTATGTGCCTAAATAATCATCAAGAATCATACTATAATGTATAAAATATCAGAATATAATCACATTAATTTTAAAAATTAGAAACAGTATATTGCATCTAGCAAATCTATCACAATTCCTGACATTGAACTATTATTTCCGGATTCAATTACATATCTACTTATCTTTATAGGTGTAGGATGTAAGAAAACTGCAACTCAACCAAAAATCAATGAAGGTGCATCAACTTCTAGAGCGTCATTGATAACAGGCCCAATGGAAACAAGACAAGAGGAAAATATTGATCCAAATTTAAAAGGACAAGAAACTCAAACGTCTCCAAATCTATCTTGCTCAACTCCAAGGAAAAGAAAGCTTCATCGAGAAGTTTTAAACTTGAAAAAAAGTGTCTTCGTCTGTCTGAGAGTCCGCAAAGAAATGTAGAAGACAGCAACACAATTTCCGAAGAAGGCTTCATCAAATTTTGTCAGGAAAAGTAATGAAACGGTACTTTGCCAAATGAGAGCTTATAGAAGTAGTGACCAAAATATATTTGGGTATTTGATCATGCCACCAAAATCATTTTACGAGTATATTCATAAACTCGATCAAAAATTCTGTGAATTATTTCCCACAATAGCTTTAAATAACGGTGTTGGATATGAAATTAAACGCAATATAGAAAAAATTATTTATGTACATCCTTGCGAGAATTTTCCCATCTCATATTTGTTAAATTTATATGTACGATTAAGAATATTTTATACTTTAAAATATGTGAACAAAAATTTAAAAAATCAAAAAACCAACAAAAAAAAATAAAAAACTAATAATTCTACAACATTTGTAAACATTTATTTTAGAATTTGTTAATTTTTTTTATATGTACGTATGTATGAGATTTTAATAAAAAAAATTTACCGAATACTTTGTTTTATTTTTATATCAATTGATTTGAACTCGACAAACTAAAATTTATATACATATATCTACATTTTTTAAATTTACATATTTGTAAAAAATATAATTGTTCTAGATTTAATACAAATAAAAATAATTTTATACATTACCACATTAAAATCACATAAAGTTGTCCTGGTGCAACTTGGATGTGATTTTGTGTGTCAATATATAAATATACGATTACAAATTTGATATGGATGTAGAATTGCCACCTCTCCTGGTTTCACTTGGAGACTCCGGGTTTTAATATATGGTCTTCGAGCTCCGGTTTACTAGATATTTTCTCGGGGTTAAACCATAGATAAATTAATATTAATATATTTAATATTAATTTATCTGTAGGTTAAACCGCGTTTCACCAAAATAAAAAATATGTATTCTACCTCCACTAAATTTTAATATGACGTGTCAAGTATTTAGATAAAAGTGAACAAAAGAATTTAGTAACACTATGCCAAAGTAATAACAAATATAGCTTTAAATTTCGAAACATTTAAAAATACTTTATGACAATAAAAATGCAATGTTTAATTATATTTTTAAGGAAATAAAAATTAGTTCTTTTCATGTGTGAATTGTTATTTTGAATAAAATAAGCTTGAAAATAAAAATTTTCTTTCTCTTGCTATTTTTATCCGGGTCAGCTAAATTTTAAAGGTGGCATAATGGATGACAAAAATTAATTATTAAAAATATTACAAATTAAACAATCATTCTTAACTATAAAAATTACTTAAAAATGTAAACAATTAATATTAATAACATTAACTATTTAAAATTGGCGGTCGAATTAACAGCGGCCATATGTGCGCGTCGATGCCTGCGCGAGTTCAGAACTGGGACATCTAGATCAAAGGCGCCGACAGGGAGTGCGATTACTGGTAATAATCTTTATACTGTGCGTGGTGTCCCGAGTTTACAATTTGAGCGATTCTAATTCCAACTTACGTTCCAGATGTCTCGAGTATAGCTGTCAGATTCACTCGGGACCTAAAGAGGTAGCGTAACGTGAGTGAAATAAGTAAAAGTATGGTTAAGAAATGCTTTATTTTGATATTTTTGTGTTGAAATTAAAAAAATGAGTTTTTAAAATAATCCAGAACATTTGACTACAATTTTAAATATAATGTGTGAACACGAACATTTTGCAAGTGGCATATTTTTAATTATTCCTCATTGTATTTTTTTTTTGTAGGAGTTATGTTTTATTTTAACCACATTATAAAAAAATTAGTAAACTCAAAAACAATATTTTTTCCTAATATTACAGAAGAAAACCAAATACAGCATACATTAATTTATTTAGGAAATATAATTTACTTATTATTTGTATAATTTTTTTTTTTTTTATTTAATACTGAATATATACAGAATAGGCTCAATTTATAATACAAACAGTTATAGAATAATATAAATAAGAAATGTTTAAAGTTCAGAAATATAAAATGCCAGGCACTCAAAAATGAGGACAAAAATACTTCAAGATATAGATGTAATACCAATCATAAAAAACATTGACTACTGGAACACTGACAATAAATCATTAAAATATCTAGTTAGGTACAATACCTATTATTTCTTATTTTATTAATTCTAAAAACTCAATAAGCCATGCCTCTGGTATATTTTCTAAATTAAACCTTCAAAACAAACCATGTTGCACCATGCGTTATCGTAGTTTTCGTAGCCGTTACTCGAGAGATGATTAAAATCAAATTTTAAACGGTACCGGAAAGGGTAGGTAGAGTAGGTAGAGAAACGGGACGTAACAACTAATCAGAATCGCACTGGCGCATACAACTAACTAATAATTAAGATATAGGCAACATGATATACACATATGTGTGATACTGGTTGCCTGAACTTTGATCAAATATAGAACTGAGTTTAACATCAATAGTGTTTTTCAATCATTTCGGTATCATAGTTCAGGTGATCTAAGTTTAATGGATATTGGTAGTTCTGAATCGAAGGATTTCTGACAAAAATAAATGTTCTATGTCAGTTTGACGTTTTTAAAAAAGATGTTCATTAAGAGTGAAGATTAAAAATTGTACGAAATGGTAAAAAATTGACGGAGAAGAATTATTGTTGGTAAATTTTGCTTGCTGTACTCTTATGTACTCTATAGAAGTAGCCGGTGGCAATTAAGAAAGATTATGTAATGTTATCTATAAGTCAGAATTTCATTCAGTAAATGGGCAGTAATAGTCGTTTTCTTTTTACAAGCATTCTTGACTAACTAAAAGTTAGATTCTGATCTAAGCTTAACAGTAAAAAGAACGCGAATTTTGGTTGACAGGTGACGTGCCCCATGTCATCCGTTTAAAAACAATCCATATTTTAATCAAATTTTATAATTTTTTCAACATTCAACACTACAAATCTCACCCCCTGTTATCATAGTCTTTTATTCTCTCTAAAATAATGAATTCATGGAATATGTTTGTTCATATGATGCACAGAACACTCACTTTCTGTGATGGTTTATGGTTGACGTCAAGTACCATGCACCTTAGCATCGGTAAGGGGGGGAAGAAAGATTCTGACTTACAATCACAAAAAGAACGTACAACTAAGCCTAGACGATCTAAGTTAGCTCAGATTAGTGGTAATAAGAAAGCGACTAATGTCACCATCTTCTTCACATATTACTTCGAACATAAAATATACACAATATTCTAAAATATACTTATATTATGTAAATGTCGAACTTTGACAGTTCAGTTTTTCGGATAGTTTAAAATAAGTTCAGGTGTGATCTACATTTGAAATACACCATCTTTTAATTGAACCCAGTTCATTTACTGAACTCTGTTTATACTTTGATTGAAAAACTGGCCCTTAATGTGATACTCCATATTTTTAAGTGACTGATATATGTCAGATTGTTTAATTAATATTAAGGAATAAATGAAAAATATTCTTACATGTTCTTCCACGGAAATATTTCTACAGTTCCATAAGAATTCCACAATAGCGAAAGCACAAGACATCGCTATACCAATTCCAAGAACTAAGAAGATACCTCCTAAGTTTGATATACCAAGTTTGAGACTGTCTGTTTCGTCTCCTGTGTCTTGCTGAAAGGAAAAATATACTTTTGTCTATTAATTTTAAAAAGGATTATTTTTCAATTATTTATGTTGGTGTTTTTTTTTAAATAAATACTAGATATATTATACTAAATATACTAAATTTTAGACCTATAAGTCGGATATTGAAAATTTAGGAAGTGATTTTATCCACCGTCTAACCCGAGAAGGAGAAGCGACACAAACTATCGGTGCCTTTGATATTGGCTGGACCTTTTTCACAATATGAATATTATTAATACACAAGTTAATACCTCAGTATATATACCAATCAGTATTGGCACTCTGAGGCGGCACGTTTGATCTTTAAAAGTAGAAATTTTAGTTGACACTTGACGTTTTCGGGATATGAAAAGTTTTCTTTACACGGACTTGGTATACCTGGTTAGTTGAATTTTTGTTCTGCTGCTTTTCAAATTCGTGTGTATGAGGGAGATGTGAGATACCTTTATAGACAAGGGTTGAACAACTTATTTACTTTGAAGAAGAAAATAGATTAGATATCAGGGCAGTCTTCGCAAATGTAAGAAGGACAGCACCGTTTTAAATTTTTTTTATATATGTGAAATATTACTTTTTGGTGAAAAGTTTAATTACTTTTAGTTCAAAATATAACGATTTTGTCAAGAGAAATATATAACACACAAGGTTAGAGTAACAAAATAGAGGTATTGCTTTATTTCTTAAGAATTACTCTAATCTAAATCTTTTCTAGTATATTGTAAAAATTTATTCTATACGTTATTTAGGTACTGCAAAATCTATAGGAAAGTATAATCTATAGGAAAGTATGTAGTTTTAAATTTAAAAATTTGTAACGGAGACATATTTAGTGTAGTTTTTTTACAAATATATACTCAGTGACTTGTTTTTGTGAATTAATTTGAATTTATTTTAAAATGGGAATTATATGTATATGGTTTTCGTAGTTTTTACACTTGTGATAAAAATATCAAAGTTATGTATATTGGCCATTTACTACACACAGCAAATTCATAGACACAATACATATTACTATTTAACATTCTTGTAAAACTACTAATTTAAAATTGACTTTAAACTAAGTGACTACACACAGAATTGTTTGAAAGCAGCCATAAGGTATAATTTATTTATTGGATACTAGACTGGGCCAAAAAAATAACAATTTTTTTTTTTGAAAGATATATCGAGAATATCATTCAGAATGATGAAAAAAAAATTTGCTAAAAATTTGAGCCCTTAATATTAATTTTAAGAGGTCTATCATCGCTATTTTGATTTTTAGTCATAATTTGATGTTTTACGTTAGAACTGTCAAAACATTAAGGTGAAAAAAAATCCTTTTTACTTATTCTTATGTAAAATTAAATTCTCTACAAAAAAGGCCCTATTAAAATGTTTGTCAGACGAGCCGTTTTCGAGTAATTTCGTAACTAATGAATCAATGCATATTTAAAAAAGCCCACGTCGGATTCTTAAAGGAAAATTAATGTTCTACAAAAAAGGTCTCTTAATATTTTTGCCTAAATTTAATTCTTCAAAAGTTATTTATTAGTTACGAAATTACTTGGAAACAGATCGTCTGACGAAAATTTTCAATCAGACCATTTTCGTAGAGAATTTAATTTTATATCAGAATAATAGAAAAGGAATTTTTTTCACTTTAATGTTTTGACAGTTCTAACGTAAAACATTAAATTATGACAAAAAATCAAAAATAGCGATGATAGACCTCTTAAAATTAATATTAAGGGCTCAAATTTTCACGAATTTTTTTTTTATCATTCTGAATGATATTCTCGATATATCTTTCAAAAAAAAAATAGTTATTTTTTTGGCCCAGTCTATTGGATAGTATAAAAAAATTAATAGTAGTTACATATAGAGTTAAGTAACAAGAAATTTAAGACCAAAAACAAAACAAACCTTTATATCTAGTGAACTTAATTAAGTACAGTCCTCAAATTTCTTAGGCTAACGTTAAAGATATCTATTTGGATCTCGCTAAGAAACTCATTGGTAACAGCCATCATCTTGTTAAAAGGTGATACACTACTTGGATCTAAATCAAATAATTTTTTGTTACTTGGGTTTCTTAGATTAATCTTTGCCGCATTAACATTTATATAGTCAATCAATTCACAATCTGTGTACTTAAAATAGAGTACAAAATATATCACAGCCTGTTGCTTTCTTCTTTGTAAAAGAGGTTTAATCTTAAAACTATTGAGCATAGTTTTATACGAGATCTTAGGTATAAGGGTACAAGTATTTTTTATGACATGAAGGTACCGTAAAAATATTTTTTGTACTTTTTCAATATGATCAATTTGTGTGGCTTCCAAGGGCATCCATATTTGTGAAACATACTCAATATAGAGTCTTACTAAGGCATTATATAAACTGATTTTGGTGGTAATCCTAAATTTTTTTGTATTTCTGATTTAAAAACCTAATGCTTTTATAGTTATGGTAACGTAAAAAATGGTTATTGAACTTCAAATTAGACTGAAAGACAACTCCCAAATCCTTTACCTCATATTCACGATTTAATGTGACATCACAGGTCTTATTTCTAATGTAAAACATTAAGTGGCTATCAGTCGAAGGAAATGTATTTTCTTTTTATAACACATTTTTTTAGCTTGATTACTTTTAGTACTCTATTTATTCCAATGTCCTCAAATAAAAGGAGCAATAATAAGGATAAAACACACACTGAAGTGTATTTGGGGTATGTTTGATCTAAATCCACTATCAAAATAACAAATTTTCCGTTTTTAAGCGATGAATGTATTACAAAAACTACTTCGATAAAATGTAAACAAAAGTTTATATTTGTGTACGAAATATGGGTTGCCTGCGCATGGTAGCGAGTTTTTAACCGGATTTATGACAAGTGATAGGTTATATCCCGAAAACGTCAGCGCAGTAAAAGCTGCGCGTCTTTTTCCCGCCCAGGGAGTGTCATGGGCCTGTTAATACGCTGAGAGAACCTGTTTATATTCTACACTGAGCGAAATAGCTTGGAAAATTATCTGAAATTACTGTTATAGTCCACGCGCAAATGTTATAATGTGATTTATTTCCATTAAAGTAGTTATGGTAAATAATAGCAATAGTGAGATGTCGGCACCAAAATTTAATTCCTTGTGTATAATTAATTAATTGATATAAAAGTAAAAGACGTTTATTATTTTATAATTTATTTATCTACAAAAATTTGTTCCTTATTTGATTTATTCATAGTTAAAAAGTAATAAAAGTCACATATTTAGATAAATTAAATTACCTTTTTCTTACGTAAAAATAAGATAAATAAACTTAAGGATAGCTACAAAAAAAAATTAGGTAACAATTAAAGAAACATTAAGTTTGAGAGTTTAACTAAATATTTGCAAAATGCAAACATACAGAAAAGGCCAAGGACGGTGAAATAAAGTGCCCTGAGGTGGAGTCAAAGTTTGGAATCTCTGCTGGTGTTAATCCTCCAACTTTAAACGGGAAGATGTCATGGACCAATTCCTTAAACATTTCGAAACAGCTGCCAGAGCTACCAAATGGTATGAAAGAGAGAATGCAGTAGATTTGACTATCTCCCTACGAGGAGACGGTTGAATGTCCTTCAGACAGATGATTTTGAACAACTTAAAGAGACCAGAATCGAAACTTGTGTACCAGTAACTTCCATTATTCATCAGACAATAACCTCTGACAATTTTAACGACAAATTCGAGCAAATAATTGCAATTGCTAGTCAATCACTTAGAGAAAAAGAAAATATAGGAACTTCTTCGACGATATCGTGACATTTTTGTACCAAAAGCAGGAAAAACAGGAAGAACTTCTGTTGTGAAACACAAAATTGACACTGGGACGACAAGCTGAAGCTCGAAGATTACCAAAGGCCAAGAGGGAGGAAGCTGAGAGGATTTTTCAGGAAATGGAAGAAGACAGAGGGTGCTACCCAGACAGCAAAAATCAATCCATTGGATGTCCATCGGAAGTCTATTCATGGACATATCGGCTGTCCAAAGGACGTCCAGCATTTTACCGAAGGACATCCACTGGACTATACAAATGTCCCACTTCTGGACGTCCATTTGGACTCCATGAAAGGTCCATATATGGACTCTTTTTGTATTGCTTTTGGAAAATTTATGGACATCTGACGGACATCACCACCTATATTAATATGAAATAAAATAATTGCAACTATAGACTTATTTTTATTGTCATAAATAATATCAAGCATGTATTAGTTTTATACGCACTCCTTTCTGTTGACCTTCTCAGCCATTTTCTTAAGGCTATTTCGCTTACTTTTTAAGCAGCACCATTGTCACTCTCAGCAGCAGCTAAAAAAAGACATTACATTTTAAACGAATATTGAGTCTTAAATCAATCATTTAATAAATGCCTGATCAGGCAAAAGTGATAGTTAAAAATGTAAAATTTTTAGATAAAATATTATTAGCTAATATGAAAATATGCATTGACTAATGTACTTTACCCCTATACTTACATATAAACAAAAAACTGCTCATTGTTTCTTTAAATTACCATTTTACTTTCATGCCATCATATTATGTGAATTATTTCGTGAGGATATTAGAAATTATGGAAACGAACCATCTTTTTATATATTCGTCATGTCCTTGTCCCTGGTTTTGGTAACTGCTGAATCTAAAATGGCAATAAAAATATGTATTTGTAAACATAAAAGAGAAATAACTTATGAAATATCTTTCAATGCATTATTTCTTAAACGTTACAAAACGATTCTATTTTATTTAATAAAAGTAAAACTTACAGCTTCTTTAAAAATATTTGTATCTTCTAAATAGCCTTCTACTTCTGCTAACGTCTCATGCAGTACAAATAGAAACTTTTCTTCTGCTTTGAAAGTTTTCTCACCTCTTAGTTACAATAATAAATGTGTTGACATCATCTCGAATTTGCAGCATATTAGTTAGCTTTTAGTAAAGCCATTTTCTTAAATAGGTAGGTACATCATTTGACAAAAGGTCTAAAAGAAAGGGATTGTTTGAATGTAAATGGAAAACAAAGTTTAAAACATAATTGATAGGTTTTATAAGTTTAAAACAAACGATTTGCTTTTTAATTTTTAGATTTTTAAATGATTTAATTAATAATTATACTTATTTTTTTACCAGATAAACATCCATGTGCTAGTGTATTTTCTTCTTAACCTCTTTCTTCTTTTCTTCTTCGAGTCTGGCCTGAGTGGCCTTTTACTTTTCTATCTTGTCAACAAAGGCGAGTGGAGAGGAAAATTATTTGATTTATTTTAATTAAAACCTGGTAGTAAATAATTAAATTATACAAGAAGAATTATAATAATTTATTATAAGTTAGTCATTTTTATATTGTCCATCATGGACATATTTTGGACATCCAAATTGGACTTCTGAATGGGTATATCCATTGGATAACGGAAAACGGATGTCCAATGAATATCCATATGAAGTTCATGGACATCCAGGACATTATTTGGACAAAATATGGACGTCCAATGGACGTCGTGTGCTATCTGGGTAGAACCTTTTACCAGCCTATAGGTTAGCCCAGGGGTTCTCAAACTGTGGTACGCGTACCCCTTGGGGGTACGCGAAAATTTTCAGGGGATACGCGGGAATGGTAATGAAAAATTAAACCATTTTTATTTCTCTTTTGTAAACACAAAAAATTATAATTTATAATGGAATCTAATTGAATACTTGTGTGCTCGAGCACGGGCGTAACCAGGGGGAGGGCTTTGGGGGTTCAAACCCTCCCCAAAATGTTAAGATATGAACATTAATAATATTAAAATAAGGAGAGGCGAGAGGCATAACTTATTACTAATTATGCATATGTAATCAAATGAACCTTTTGTTTTTTTACTCTTTAATTTTTTCATATGAATAATACGGTTATTTCATGCAATTTTAGAACTTTTATTTTCTTGAACCTTCCCCGATACTAAATCCTCGCTACGCCCGTGTGCTCGAGTGGAGTGGAGTCGGGTGTGGGCAGCGGGTCCTTGACTCAGATCAGTGTCAGTGCAGCGTTTCCTATTGTCCTGTTGTTGTTTTGTTTATCAGATTCGTTCTCGTTGTTATTATAACTTCAAATCTGCTCAACAATTTAAGACTGTTGTTATCGGATTATCAGTTTGTGAACACTGTTAGGATTTGATGTGGGAATGTTAGTGTAAACATTAAGAATGGATAATTGGCTCAAACGAAAAATATCCCATGAAGATCTTGACCAAAATCCTGGGCCATCAACGTCTCAAAATATAAGTAGGCCTGATTCTAATAACTGTCCGTCCGAATGTAAAAATAAAAACCCTGAAAAAGTGGCACAGGGTGTAAATAAAAAAAGGAAGTATGACGAATCTTACTTAAAATTTGGATTTACTTGGACGGGAAGTTCAGACGAGCCTTCTCCACAATGCGTGGTTTGTTCAGAAGTATTATCCAAAAACTCTATGAAACCTTCTCTTTTGAAACGCCATTTTGAAAGTAAACATGGAAATTTAGTAAATAAAGATTTAGAGTATTTTAAACGTCTTTTGGAAGATCTTCATAGTAGGAAAAGTACTATAAAACATTTTTCTGGAGCAGACAAAAATGAAAAAGCTCTGAAAGCTTCGTATAAAGTTAGCCATCTAATTGCTAAATCTGGGAAAAATCACACCATTGGTGAAAACCTCATTCTCCCTGCTGCATTAGAAATAGTTTCTTGCATGTTTGGAGAAAAAGAGGCAAAAATTATTAAAAATATACCATTGTCAAATGACACAGTTTCACGAAGAATCAATGACATGGCAAGCAACACAAAAGAGCAACTCCATCCCCCATAACAAGGGGGTACGCAAAATTAATTTTTCATTAAGGGGTACAGTCTTTGAAAAAGATTAAGAACCCCTGGGTTAGCCTATTATGAGAAAAAGAAAGATAATTTCTACAGCATTGTACAATTCGATTTTGCTCGTCTAGCAACACTCGTGATGAAGCAGGAGAGTAGGAGAGTATAGGAACGCACTCATGAGTTCGAGAATAGGGTACCTGGTGACTAGAGAATGATTAAAAAAGTTGGAAAGGGATATGATAAACCGAGTCGGGGTCGAATATTCTACTCAAATTAACAATTTATTGGGACGATAGATACATAATGTTTTGGTTGTCTATTTGTTATGATTTTCGAAAGGCAATCCAGTTCGAGCTCCTCGGAACAATTCTTTTTCAATTTATCAATTTTTATTTGGTTTGTTACCATACTTGATTTTCAATATTTTAATACCTATCAATTTTTTTAATTATATTTTGCTCTAACTTAAAATTTAAAATAATTTTACTCTTCATGATTAAAATCATTATTTTTATTTCCCCTATTCATCACCTATATTTTACAAAATTTAATACTTGATAATGGGTTCCCAAGCGATAAAGAACTTTGCATCCAGTATTTTTTGTGAAATGTAAGATTAAACTTTTCCCTATTTGTATAAATCTTTTTAGAACACCCTTTATGTAAGAAAGTAAATCAATTTTTATTTGATAAAAAACCTCCGGTCCCTGGATAGGAAAGTGCAGTTTGCCGCTGAGGCCCCATTTGCCGTAGTAAACTGACGACTCAGCGGCTAAAGGTATGCTTTCAGTTAAGTATATTTAAACAGTTTGCTGGTAGGTAAAATCACCACTTTAATTTTCCATATCCGACTTTTAGTCTATACATTTTATGCGGAATTGAAAATCCGTGATTAAATAAGTGCAGAAATATGGAATATTGGACTCTTTATGTCCTGATCACATTTAAATCTTACTTCGGAATCCTTCGGCTCTTCTTTATTTTTTTCCCACCATGTCTTTTTTAATTTTTCAAGAACCCCAGTTTCTTGCATTTCTAATACTGCTTTGTTTATAGCACTTCTGTAGGGTGAATCTGAAAATAAATAAAAAACAGTAAACATTTACAATAATTCTTTTTTAGCAAGATTTGTCAACCGAAATATGGAAAAGGTACAGAGCTGTCGGGCTTTCAAAAACGTTATATTTAAGGAGTAACCCCATAGATATAAAACCAAGACAGATAGGATTATTTACAAAATTTTTGAAGAATGAACGGTGGTGTCCGCGGTAGAAACTCAATAATCGGATTGAACATTGATGCCAAGTTTACGTGCTTTTAACTATAGATATATATATATAACCAATACAGATTACACAATTTCTGAAGTCAACGCGGATGATCCTCGACAGAAATGCAATATTTGGATAAAATTAAAATATTGATGTCAAGTTTGCGATGTTTTTAGCTGTAGTAATGTTATTGCGTTTGCTTGAATTACTGTTAGGTCTTTAAATTGTCCAAATAAAAAAAAAATAATGTCTGACAACAGCGGAAGTAGAGTAGACCGCAATTGTGGAGGGTCGTATATTGTTCCATTCATAAAAATTCCTTCGATACAGTACTAGTCCAGGAGCCAGTGAATTTTTTCGTACTTGTTTTCCCGGTCCGTGTATATTTAAATAATCTATTCCCGGTGAACTGTATATTTAAAATGGAACGCCAATCTATTAACAAAAGTAAGCCAGATTGAATTCGCGCATTACGTCACATCGATACAAGTGAGATTGTTTACAAAGTGCCTTTGCAGGCCTATTTTGCCCATTTCATGTATTTGTTTTTAAATCATATTAAATTACTATTTTTGAAACTCAACAAGGAGAAAATCCAATTAACTCTTCCGTTGTGTATATATATAAGATAAATTAACTGAAATTTTATAAGTAAAGTATTAATACTAAAATTTTAATGTAATTTACAGAAAATAGCTAGGTATGTATTTGTTTTTAAATAATTTGATAATTTATGAAAAAAGGGAGTAAAAGTGGAATGACCAGTGGCCAGTAGGTCAGTCAATACAAAGTATCATATATTTCTATTATAACATAACTAAAATACCTGCATCTTTTAATCATAAGGACATAAGTTAAAAACCATTTTAATATATGCATTAGAATGAAGTAATAATAACTTAAAGAGACGAAGTCTTAAAGTAATAGCTGGTACAGCATGTTTTTTAAACGTTTCCTCATTGCTGCTAGAATGAAATCACTAACTATGAAATGTGCTCTAAAAACGGCATTTATAGCAGTCAGTGTTCAGTCTTAGGATCTCTTCCTAAAGCCCTCATCCAAGCTGCATACATATTAAAAAATAATTTAAAAAAAAACATATTATATACCTATATAGTTTTCGGTTCTGGGTGCCCTAAAAGAGGACACTTAGCCGACAATTTGGCTCAGATAGCTAAAACCCAAAAGTCACACCCCGAACCAGGACGTATTGCTATCCTTTTAAGTAAAAAATAACTACAAATAACTTACCTGAAAAATGAAGGCGTCTAACTTTACACCAAAAAAACCATATACTTTTTGCCATTGTTGCAAGCACCCGATGACGATTAGGTAGATATCAACTAGAAGCATGTACTTAATGGTTATAAAGCTTATTTTAACACAAAAAGAATAAAGCACTACTCGAAAAGCAGCAATCAAATATAAATAGACCACAATATTAAAATTCAAATTAAAAACTATATAAAAGACAAATACTCTAAAAGCGCAAAAGATCAGAACCAAATAAAATGAATAACCTAAAAATCACAGTAAAATTGCAAACACTATTACTGTAAAATCATGAGATTACATCAATAATGCATATGCGTCGGAGTATCGCAAATGTCAAAAGTACAGTGTTTCCATGAAAATTTAGCTATGTTTTTAGCAGAATTATAGGACCATTTCTACCACGCACATCCAACGATATTGGCGTTCCACAGTTCACTGTATTTTCCTCACACCTCTAATATAAATGATTTGACATAACGAAACTAACAATAATTATAATTAATGTAGAGTAATAAGTGATTCGTGAATTCTAAATAAAACAATTATTATATAAAAGTGTAAAAGGAAATGTAATTTATTTCCCTATTTTCTTCTGTAATATCTTCAATTATTATGTTTAATTTCTATAAATAAACCAACTGGTTAGGTGAAACATGGTGATATAAGATTTTATTTATGTGTCCTATGCGTACACTTTAATATACAAAACACCTGGAACATTCTTTAAATAATTGTGGTCGTAGAAATAATTGTGTACATAACTCGTTTGAAAGTGTATTTTATGCACTTGCCAAATATATTATCCATACAGATTAATCAGACTATTTTTTTACCTAACTTCAGTACATCTCTTACTACTAAAACTATTTTTATCAATGGAAAAAAAGGGCCGTGTTCTCGTATGTTTTGACGCATTTTCGGCCTCAACCCATCGGATCCCCCTCTAAATATATATAAATTTTGCTTACAATTGCTAATCCTACAATTCTCTATTCGTGCTTGCTGACTGGGAAAATAAATACCGAAAATCGTCACTGTCTCCTGGACTATACAATAGATGATGATGAGAACTTCACAACAAATACATTTTTATGAATGGCTAGTTGGGGATGTGAGTAACTCACAACCGGTGCCCGATTTATAACGAAATGGAATCTTTATACAGGGTGTTCCTCAATAACATGCTAATATCTAAGGGGATGATTCTTGGGCCCATTTTAAGGAAAAAACTTCATATGGACGTATAGTGGTGTTATAGTGCTCTAACCGTTAACACCTGTTTGTTGTTTACAAAATTTCAAATGCTAATTTTCCAAATTATAAGTATAAAAAACTTTGTTCTGTATGTTTTGCACTTTTTCGGCTTAGAAATATTACTAATAAATCTGTTTTGTTAGCATATTATTACGCACATTATTATTCACTTATCAGATTTGGTTTAATTTTTTGAGGATCATCTACTCATGTACTGGGGGTTTTTAGACTTCAAAAAAAGCTGTAAGAAATGTAGCATCGTTAAGTTATAGACACCCATGTAGAGAAAAATTTAAGAAATTCCGAATTTTGCCACTTCCTTGTATTTATATTTTAGAACTTTTAATGTAAGTCAAATCAAACCTAGAACATTTTCGAACTAATAACTTTTATCATCATTATTTGACTCGTACTCGATGTGATTTAATGATACCATCTCATAACTCTGCATTTTACGAAAAATGCCCTCAATAAATGGGTATCCTGGTATATAATAAACTTTCGAATAATGTAAAATTAATAGAAAATTTGAAAATATTTAGAAGTAAAGTAGAGAAGCCATTGATGGATAACTGATTTTATTCTGTAAAAGAATAATTGGATTTCACGTTTTGATTGCGCGAATTTCGAAACGTCGGCCGGGCGCGCCCTTTTTACACCTACACCATAAGAGTCAGGCTACGCTTGTACCAACAACGGCTTCACTACTAGAGGAAGGAGCGAGCGAAGCGAGCGCGGCCGGCCGACGTTTCGAAATTCGCGCACGCTGTATTCTGTAGTGGTTAGGACGTGAGTGCGACGAGCGTAACTTGCTCTTATGATGTAGGTGGGCGCTCTTTTCTATAGCGGTTAGGACGTGGGTGAGACGAGTCTAGCGTGCTCTTATGGTGTAAATGTAAAAAGGACGAGCGTGAATTTCAAAATGTCGGCCAAGCGCGTTCTCTTCAAAGGTAGTTGGGATGTAGAAAGACGAGTGCGTTTTTTGTGTCAGATAACTTTTTTATTTTTTGAATTATAATAGATTTATAAAAAGCGTTTTGGATAAAATTTTTATGAAACCAATCAAGTTATATCGGTATAAGTCAGTTAGAAATATACTAGGCGTAGTATTTTTTTTTTATTAGCTAATAAAGTTAGCACAATGCAGTTTTAATGGTTTTATTTAAAGTTTAATACAGTACGTAAAAATATATTCTTGCTTGGTTTTGGAATAATGGCCAACCTAGTATATCTCCTATTCACTTATACTGATAACTTAAATAATTTCATAAAACTTTTATTTAAAACTTTTTTGTGAAATTTAATTTTATTAGTAAGTTGCATTAACTTTTGTACATTTTGTATATAAATTTCGACTTATCTTATGTCAAATTTCTCAAATATGTTATTTGAGAAATATTTTTAGATAACATGGCGGAAGTATTCAGATTTTACTTACTCCTGTAATTTTGGGATGTTTGTTATTTTTTCTGGTTAAAATGATGTTTTGAATATCTGAAATACCTTTTAGTTTAAAAACAAGTATTGGAAATTAAAAATTTGAAAAACCGACTTCAAAAACGTGCAGATGCCATCACCACATCTTAACCAAATTTATATGGAACTACCTCTGAGGTACCCCCTTACTAACAAAAAAAGAATCATATGAATCTGACAAGGTGGTAAAGCATTATCGCTAAACATACATAAAAAATGAAGAGTTTGAGAATTTTGTCATGGATTCAATTATTAGATTTTGACCAAATTTATATGGGAGCAGCCCTGAAGTACCCCCTTTCTAACAAAAAAAGAATCATTAAAATCTGACATCGTGCTAAAGAATTATCGCTGAACATACATAAAAAAAATTATCGCGACGAATTGAGAACCCTTGTACGATGTATCTTTTAAATGAGTTCCGGCTGAACCGTTAAAACCACAAAGCACATAGAGGTTCCACGTGAATGACCAAGGTCAAAACCGACAACTGACATTTTTTATGCTATTTGCTCCAAACTCTAGATGGGGCTACTGGTGAAATTATGATTTCTTACTCCATTTTTAAGCCTTATGGGAGAAAAACTTAACCAAAGACTCCAAAGATGTGACGTGTAATGTGTATTTATTTATGTTCTTGGTTAGTTTCATTTTTCCGTCCGATTTTAGTGATTTTTTGTTGGCTTTGGCTTTTGGTTTCTGTTTATAGTATCGTCTTAGTTATTTGCAAAATTGTGATGTTTCGCTTTTTTATTTCCTACTGTGTTTTGCAATAATTTTGGTGCTACGTTGAAAACTTCGAGAAAAACTTCATTGATTCACCATATATTCACCATGCATCTGCATCATAAAAAGACAAACGGGGACAACAACTAATTGATAATCAATTTATCACTGGACTAGATTCCGAAATCATTTTTCACATAAGAGAGTAATACCACCATCTGTATTTGGAAGGAAAATACCTATTTATCATTGAATGAATAGTTAAAAGGATTCACCTTTTAATGCAATACCTATATTACATTTGTCCTCAGTTAAAAGACATTTATAAAATATATAACTTTAGTGTTAATAAAATGTAATATCCTAGTCTCTACTTCACATTTAAATTATTGATAGGTATTTTAAAGATTTGAGATTATATATCTATTTGCTCCAAGCAAGTATTCGTTAAATATGTATTATTATTTGTATTTATTTTTATCTAATAATATTTAAGTTATTAATAAACATATTTTAAGAATGTTCTATTTTATTATTTATAGATATATCTTTATTTAATAAAAATATGCAGAACCAACTCTCCACATTAGACCCCTTATAACAAATTAATTCTTCAAATTTAGTATAATCGACCTAAATTATTTTGTAAAACAAAAGTTTCGAACTTACTAGTTCCATACTTTATTTTATAAAATAATTTATGTGGAAATCATTTAAAATTTAATTTAAAACTACTACCTACTCCTAAAAATTACAATTTGAATTTACCGCCATCTGTCAATTGTCATTTTAGTTCCAGCTCCAAACACAAGGTGGCGCTAATTTGGTTTAAAAGTTTAACATTGGCGTGGGGTCTCTAGAAGATACATGCTTTGTGGTTAAAACCATCTAGGGGTGACGTCACGTCACGGCTGACTCAACATAAATTGAACGAATTCAGCTAACCTCTTTAATTGTTAAAGGCCTTGGTTGACAATGAATAAATAAGATAAACTTCATTTCAAAAGTTTAAAAACTTTTGGATTACACAAAGTAATTAAATTTAAAAGTTTTCAAAAAGTATTTTAGAGATGATGTAATATTAATATTTAGTCAATATGTACTACAATTCAATCAAAATGAATTAATGATTAATACACAATATTTTTATATTAACTTTGGTTATTTTGGTTTTGCCGCAGTTAAATTGATCAACAATATTAAGTAGTATCAGTTGCATTAAGAATATAGCGAAAATAAGTGAAAATTGTTGTGTCCGTATTGTTTACAGTCTCCTAAGAATAATATACATGAACAGAAAAATTGGTTTTGAGTATTTTCAAGGTAAACTTGACAAAAAAATGTTTAAATATACCAAATAAAAAGTAACGTTTTTGTTTACTTACTTTTTATAAATAAATAATTTATTTCTGCATACTTATTTTTATTTAAAAAAATAATAAAAGGGATTTCAAGAGAATTACCACGCCCAGAAACTTCAAATTTGAGTCAAACTTGTATTTTTAGTCTATATATTCTTTACTTATCCTATGACCAGATTATGGATTTTGTCACAAAATACCTATAATTTATGAGAAAAATTAGTATTTTTATTGGCACTATTTACCTTATACCTTTATATTTGTAAACGAATATATCGAATTTCAAACACTATCTCCCATTTAATGGTAATAATTATGTCCCACGTGACGTCACCGTTAGTCAACTGCATGCGCAGGAACATACCGTTAGTTTGTGTATCGTGGGGAGTAATGTATAAAGGATTTCAGGCTTCCGGTTGCATGTCTTTTAACTTATAGGTATATAATAAAAAAAATTAATAATTCCTTACTCATTGGCATAGCAATTCCGTAGCTCTTGGAGTCGAGTAAATCACCTACTCTCTTTAGGTCAGGTTTTGTCGCCATCACATATTCTATTTGCGTGGATTCCATCAAAAATGCGTAGAGCGCGTTTTTCGTATTTCGGACCCTTTGAACACCGTCGTCGTTGGAAGCTTCAAAAACGCTAGGTTTAGCTTGTTGCATATTCAGCCACATCCTAACAAAAAAAAGGTTAATATTGAGAAGTAGCCCTTTTCATAAAAAACAATTTTTTTTACAAAACTTTATTTTTGGCTTTAGGAAGGAGAGTACTTTTCAAATAAACCCCCCGAAACCACATAAAATAATATTTTTGTAATGATATGCAAATATTTAAGAGTGTAAATCTACATGCATGAAAAATTAGTGATAGTTTGCTTTATGGTCCAAATGTAATTTTTTTTATTTAATTCATCAATAATTACATTACTTTTCTCGGACAATACAATTTATTTTTTTACTCAATATGACTGAAATTTTGTGTATGAACTACCTTTGATATGTAGAAAAATTGGAATTCGCAAAAAATGATTCCGTAGATCCTCCTGAAAGCAAACCGTATTTAATTTTCGTCTGTTTGGATAATGCTTCAGCACTATCTATCGGTGCTTCTAAGCTAGCTTTGGTCAAGAAGGCTGCCAAATTGGCTGTGTAAGAACTTGTCATAATTAATGAAAAAAACCACCACACGCCTACTGCAATTCTTGAAGAAATGCCTCTGAAAATATAATAAAATGACTTTAAGCAAAAATTCAATAAAAAAAAATATATATATATATATTGCAAAGTTCTAATAAATAACAACAAAATTGTAATATTCATTAAATTGAGAACAACTTTTAAATCAAGAAAATTCAGGAAGATTTTTTAAATAGAAAAAAATGTATGTATTTAACACAAATTATTTTACTTACTTTGGCAATATATCACAACCCTGGGTCATAATAGACCCTAAGGTAAGCCAAAAACAATTTTTTATGTCCCAAATGTTTTCTAATTCTTCTGGATTTTCTTCATATGGTTGAGGATTTTCCCAATCGCCAGGAGTCATTCTAAAAAATAAAATTTGCGTAATCTAGAATTTTTGGTTACAATAAATACCTACTATATGAACAAATTAAATGACATTTAATATTTCTTCTCAACATGCATATTATTAAAATTTGTAAGAGCTTTGCGATAAATTTATATGAAGTTAATGAAGTGACGCAGTGGAGTCCAGAAATATTTGTCTCTACAGGGTGAATCGTAAATAAGTAAGGACATATTTTTTGATAATTACTTTCATTGTTTTAGAAGTTGAAAATATGTATAAAAAATTAATTATTGTTCTATTTATTATTATTAATGATAATACAAAAGATATTAAGTGCCATTTATACAGAGTGATTCAATTTTTTTAATGAATGTGTAACTCAGTATTTTTACTTGACTTTTGTGTATTTGTTATAATATTGACATGTGTATAACTATTCAATTTATTGATTACATGGTGATTTAATAGAACAATAGTTAATTTATCGAATATGTCACAAATATTGATACATCACCCTGTATTTTTAGTCATAAAAAGATGTTTCTTTATTGGTGTAACTACCATTCCGTATAAAATTAATTTCCAAAAATTATAGCTTTTTAATATGATATTTGAGATACAGGATTTGACTTAAGAAATAACAATTTTTTTGTGGCCTATTTTATTGCAATATCTTTTGTCATTCGACGAATATACACAGGGGTTAGCTACTTATATTGTAAAAGAAGATACTATTTGTTCTTTATTTATATTCGTGTAATGCTAAAAGATATTTATATTTTAATAATTTCACTAAAAAGGCCATAAAAAGTACAACCGGCAACAAAAGGAGCATTTCAAAAGTTTAACACCTATAGTATCTCAAAAGCCTATTACAGTTAAAAGCTGAAATTTTGAAAAATTATGTTTTACTGAAAGAAATACAAAACTTTAAATATTTATTAATTAGTCACCCTGTATAAAATTTCGCTAATCCCAATAACGTTGATGAAAAAAATATTGTCCAGCGTCGATATTTACTAATCATATCGTACGTATGTAACGTATTTTTTATTATTTAAGCAATAAATCTAGTATTAACTTTTTTATATATACACTCCGCACAAAAATTAACGCATCATTTCAATTTTCTTACAAAACTTTAAATTTTCGCAATTTTTTTTTTAAAGTTTGGTGTCTCATAAATTAAGAACTATTTGTATGCAATAATGGCGAAAAAATAAAACTTAAGAAGGAACCAAATAAATTTATTCGATTTTTAAAATTAAATACTACAAAAACCAAGTTAACTTTACTAAATATTGAAAGCAACTAATCACGAAAGTTGGTTGCAATTTCAAAGTATTAGTATTTATTTTACAAAAATATTTACACATAAAAAAACTCATCCATTTTTGCATGTAAGTATCCAAAACTAATATACAGGGTGTACAATTTTAATACTGATGCGCTAATTTTTGTACAGAGTGTATATATACATGCCTATCGGATGATGCGAAGCCCAGTATACACTACAGGTGAAAAGAAACCCAGGTTAGGGAGGCGAGAGGGGCAGCTTCAACTATTTTAATATATCTATCAGTTTTATGCGTTTTCTCAAGTAATAAGTGTTTAAGAAGCCCTGGTGTATAAATACAATACAGAAGGTTGATTTAAGAAAGCCCAGTGAAGTTGCCTTATTTAAATTACGCTTCATTATGTTTCCTTTCATATGTTTATTGTTCATAATATTAAAGTACTTAGAAAATAGTTATAATGATTGGGCTGCCATCAATTTGATTAGTTTTATCAATTTTAAATTTTAAATTATTTCTATAAATTATGAGATTTTGATGCTTGTAACTATTGTTTTATTATATTATTTCTAAGTTGTTTAAAAAATATGTAAACATACCTACATTAGATTTATGACTTTCTATACATTTCCTGAAAAGTTGAAATTAAAGTTATATTTTTATGTTCTAAAATATATTTGTATACAGGGTTTTTTATTGTGAAATATAATACGTTAACTGTAAATAGAGATCACCAGAGTTATTCTAAATATATTTAATGGATCTTAATGTATTTATAACAGAGGTACAGGGTGTTTTACTGATTTTGATTTTTTCTTTCTAGATTATGACTAATAACTAGAGAGCGGAATATATGCAAAATGCTTATATATGCATTTTTTGCATATTTTACCAAAGTTCAGAAAATATTGCATATTTTTCCAAAATTCAGAAAATATTGCATATTTTACCAAAGTTCAGAAAATTTAAGAAAATATTGCATATTTTCGAAAAAAAAAAATGTATTACTATACTGTGCAAATCAAAAACTGTTTTAACAGATTATACAGATATATTTGAAATAAAGACCTTTTAAATTTTTGTATTTGTTTTTAAGTGTCACTTTTTGTAAATTCTTGTTAATTAGTTCTTGGAGGGTGGCATGCACTGGGTTTTTACCTTCTTAAGAGATTAAGTCCATTAAGGTAATTGTTAATAGATGGTATTTACACAGATAAAGTATTACCTACAATGCAATAAAACGGTTTATATAAAATTCTCAGTAATTTCTTGTAACAAATCTACCCTAACATCGGAATATTTTGAATGTTTTTCATTCAGTTTAATGAGATAGTATCCTCGTTATTTGCCTAGTGAAAAGTCTTGTAATAATTTGTTGTTTTAAAAGTGTCCTAAAATGTCGAAAATTTCTTCGTGGATTATTAACTTTCCAGAGTTGGAAATCAATGGGGATAAAGTTTTTTGTAAAGCTTGTGCCAAAATAGTGGTTTGCGAAAAAAAGTTCAAAGAGGTTCAACACGTGAAAACATCATTGCATAAAGCCAAATTGCAAAAAATGAAATCACAACCGGTTCAACAATGCGTTGTGAGGTCATTTCAAAATGCCGACAAAACAAAAAGTGACAAGGAGGTATTTATTCAGGACTTGTGCAAAGCTCTTGTTGCGGCAAATATTCCATTAAAGAAGTTACAAAACCCACATCTAAGAGAATGTTTACAAAAATATTGCAATCAAACCATTCCTGACGAATCTACACTCAGAAAAAAAAAATGTACATGCTATATATATATATATATATAAATGTAATAGAAGAAATTAAAGTTTTACTGGATGATAGCAATTTTTACATCATTATTGATGAAAGCACAAATGCTTGTGGAAGATATATGGTACATCTTATGATTGGAGCCTTAAAAGAAAATGAACCAGGTACATTATATTTAATTGCATCAAAACAGTTAGAAAAAACTAACAATACAACTGTTACCCGATTTATTCAACAATCTCTAGCAGAATTTTTTTTTACCAAATCAAATTCCCTCAGAGAAGTTCTTAGTGTTTTTGTCTGACGCAGCACCATATATGATAAAAGTAGGGCAAAACTTAAAAATATTTTATGCAAATATGGTCCACGTTACTTGTCTTCTGCATGGAATAAACTTAGTTGCAGAATCTGTTAGAACAGAATATCCCTTGGTTAACAAGCTAATGTCGAATGTGAAAAAATTATTTTAAAAGCCCCTTTAAGAGTGCAGTTGTATAAAGAGAGAATGGTAGGGGTGTGTTTGCCCCCGGAACCCGTAATTACGCGATGGGGGACATGGATTAAAACAGCTATATTCTATGCAGAAAATTTTGAAGCAATTAAGGATTTAATTTTGGATATAGAAGACAATTCACAATGTGTAGTGCAAAGTAAAGAATTGTTAAAAAATCCCCTTGTGCCTAAACAACTTGTGTTTATTAAGGTTAATTTTAGTTTTTTACCTGATGTAATAACTTCATTGGAAAAGAAAAATTTAAGTTTAATCGAATCAACAAATTTTATTGCAACAGTTTCCGATAAATGTAACAATGTTCCTGGTGACATAGGCCTTAAGATTAGAAAAAAATTAAATACAACTTTATTAAAGAATGAAGGGTTGTTCAATGAAATAAGGGAAGTGAAAAACATTTTTGAGGGAAAATTTTCCAAAAAAGTTTTACGTTGGCCCTGTACATTACTTCCAAAATTACGGTATTGTCCTATTACTTCGGTAGATGTTGAAAGGACCTTTTCTATATCAAAACATATTTTTACAGACAGAAGACGAAAATTTTTAATAGAAAATTTCGAAAAATATTTAATTATAAATTCCTATTATAATATTACTTTTTAATATTTTTATGCTATTCTATACTTAACTTCTACTAGTTTTTGTGTTTCGTTTGTTTTAAATAAATTTTTATATTACATATTTTCTTTTTTTTTTTTTTCGTGTAATGGCTTTGATAGCGTACCAAATTAGGAACAGCAATGTTAATTAGAACCCAACAGTGAATGGTCAAGTGGAAATATTCGCTAGGCATCAGAATTAATTTTTAAATAAATTAATTCATTTAAAAAATCGCGTCCCGGCTGGAATTTGAACCCGGGACCCCTAAGTCCACAGGCCCACGCACTAACCACTGAGCTACTCACCCCCTACTTTTTTAAAGTATTTTTAACAAATATGCATTTGCATATTTAGGCATAACTGGACAAAATAACTGCATACTTTTGGTAAAAACGATGCATATATATGCGCATATTTTGTTATATTTTGATGCATATATTCCGCCCTCTACTAATAACTAATGGTTCCAATACCCAAACCAATTACGTACAACAAAAAGAATACAAAAAAGTAATATTGCGTTTATAAAGGTTCCCCCACTTTCTTTATGGAAAGTAGCAAATTTTCAAAATTTTTGATATTTTGTAGTATTCGACCTTCTCAATACTGTAAATTTTTAAAAATTATAATAGTTTATAGACCTTATACAAACCGTTAAGAAAGTGCGGATTCCTTGAAGTTTTTTGTGCAAGTTAAAAATGGTTATAAAGATTTACGAATTTGTAATCCTTTAATATAGAAACGTAATATTTCTGTTGACTTTTTTCTCTAAAGATTTACAGATCTGTAGATGCTTAAGGATATTTTGTGCATAAGTTTGTTTACAGGGTATTCTATAAGTATACAGAAAAAATTGGCGTTGCATGGCCCCTATGCACCCCACCGGAGCCGCCCTTGGTTCGGTTAAATGTCATAAAAGTCACCTATGGAGGAGAACAATAATATGGTGAAAAACTCTTATGCATATGCATTATTTGACTAATATCGTAATAGTTAACCGAAATAAAATAAATTAATAGTAATAAAAATATTTTTTAAAACAATATTTTGTGGGTCCGCTACATTGCATTTAGAATAACATTATTTTATTTTCGTATTCTTCTCAGCAAACCCTTGCAATATCACGGAGATGCAAAAAAATAACTAATCCGCCATCTTTGGGAGTATGCCATATTAGATTTAGAAAAGCGTCACCTAGCTAACCATGCATTGTCATACAAACTAAACGTGCATGCAAAATGTCAGCTCAATCGGTTGGGTATAACGGTTTTAAAATTCAGTTGCAAAATTTAACCTAAACAAACATACAAACAAGTTAATAAAAAGCTTGTAATAAAATTGACAATAGCGATCACTTCCAGATTTTGAAAGATATTAGTAGCTATGGCCTATAATATTTATTTTACCTGGCTATAAAGTAAAGAACAATCGAAATAACAAGATATAAGGTAGCTGTATATATCCAAACACTCGTGGAGAATGGTTCCAAAAATTTGAACATGTCTGTGGTTTTATCTGCTTCTCCCTTATAATATAAGATACCAATACCTATAACAAATGTAAACATTAAAAGAATGTTAATCAACAACAACAGTTGTTTAAAAATTATATTTTTCTTCAAGGGGATCAAAATATTTATATTATGTATGAAATTGGTAGAAAAATATATTATTATCTTCATAGTATAATAACAAATTGTGGAACAATTATATTTTTTGTACACCCACATGGATATTATCTATTCTACGTAGAACGATAAAATAGGTCATTGAGTTCTACTGAAAGCATAAAGTGGCAGTTTAAATTTAACCTATTTAGACTTCTGAGCCGTTACATATCTAAAACACGAACCTCCTTTCGTAAGGTATTTTGCTCAAAACTATTTTCTCTACGATCGCTCGCTAGGTGAATATAAAGCTGCGTCCTCACCGAATCAATACTGCCGATCAACTCTGTCTATCGACATTGTTGATCAACAAGTCTACAAAACTGCATCTATCACCCCCAGAGTTGACAGAAATGTTTGTCGATCAGTCAAAATTATCATGTCTGACGAAGATGACATTATAATTGCTTGACTTTGAAGATTTCTAATTTTTTGTTCTATCGCTTGCTTCTCGACGTTAAATTAAGGACATCGTGCCTCAAGGTTCTGCTCTTATAGTTTTTGTTTTTAGAATCCCATAGATTTATTCTCAGTTTGTATGCCTCAATAAAGGCTATGACTTTATCTTGTTCCCATTCCATTTCTCCAACGAAAACACTACTACAATGTCAACAAGACAAGACGGTACTGAGTACTTAGTACTCAGTACTAACAATTTGTCGAATGTCGAACGTCAAAAACACCTCCAGACACTAAAGTCGATCGAACTGCTCTTTCATGTTTACCGACGGGCGATGGAAAACAAATCGACTGTCGATCGATTTATTTTGTCGATCGACACCGTCGATTGCCGAGTACACACAAAGTCGATAACGTCGATAGACAATCAATCGACAGTGTTGATTCGGCGAGGACGCACTCGTATTACAAATTACTATGCTAGTAAACTATTGTTACAAAAATAAAAATAGTCTTATGTTAAGAAACTTATAATTATGTTATCTGTAACTAAAGCATAAATTTTTAAATATTTCAAGAAAATTACGACATACAATTAAATTATTCAAAAAACAAGGATAGTATAGAATATTTTGTCAGTTCATATAAGTTAAACTATTATCTGTAGATGGGGAGCGCTGGGTTGTCCCCACAGCTACAAAATTATGCCTCTCTATGCATATTGTGCACCTTCTGATTCGATGAGGCTACTGATGAGGCTACTGTTGATTCTTTAGTCAACTAACAGATTTGAGTCTCATCTTGATCATAACTACAAGAAAATCAGTCATTCTGTCCATTTATGGTTGAATATTTGCTAGCTGTTGAGTTGACAGAGTTACTTAAAAGCTGTCTAGCAAATCAGCAGTCTCTTGTTTTCTTTCACCTCTTCTTAAATTATACAAGGCAATGTTCTTTAATCAGGTTTGTCACGACCAAAAAGCTTTTGGTTAGCTGCCATCTTAGATAGTTAATCGGGTAAGTCGGTTACCTGTCGATGTGACATGGCCATCTTATTATTAATAGATACTTCGACTAAGACTTGGTGACATTCTAATACTAACCCTAAGGAAATTCGTGGTCTGTCCAGGTTGGCTAGTCCTTGTCTTCTATCTGTATAGATGAGCATGTTCCTCCCAGTGATTTCTTTTTCCATTACGATAATACTAGTGAGCTAAGTTGGAACTACACTGGCACTATTGCCCATAACCCATTTTATATTTAGGTTTAAGGATCTGTAGTATATTCGACAACACTTGTTTTATTTTAGAAGTTTTTTCTGATAACTTTATAGATCTGATGAAAGGCGTATCGCAGTGACACAGATTACATATTTACCTGCATCAGTAAGCAACCTCCCTGGGTATTTATTCTTGAATCTTAGGGAGTAGAAAATTTGAGAAAAGAATGAGACAAAAATACAAAATTTGTACGTTGCAGATAAAGAGGAAAAGCCGGTTTTCTACTCCCTCAAATTCAAGAATAGCTACCCTGATATAAATATGAAGGGGAGTGAGACTAACAATGACTTCTTTAAATCTAGTTGCAGTTTAAATGGTTCTTGTTATGTTCAGACATGAAGATCTTCGTATTTCTAGTTTGCGGATTGTTGTCATGTTAAGTTTTCGGTCTTAAGATAACTGCATACCAGAGTTGGGTAGTATTCGAATACCCGGTATTCTGAATCTTATTCAGAATACTTTTGGCTTGGTATTCGAATACTATTCGAATACATTTGTGTTTTCTGTATTCGGTATTCGACTGAATACTTTTTTAGTCAGTACTCGGTATTTTGGATTCAGAATACCATTTTTGAATCCTAGTATTCGAATACCCAATTTTTATTCGAATCCCGGTATTCGAATCCTGTTTTCGAATACTGTTTGATTATTTCTATGAATATTGCGATCTTTTTGAAATGTTGGTTCTGTTGAAGGCAAACGGGATAGGAAATGCTTTTTGATTGATGTCTTCTTTCTGATATCCAAGTACTAGTGCGTCGTTATGAATGTTATATTTTATTTAAAACAAAAAGAATTTATTATAAGGTATTTATTATTTAAGATTATTTTTCAAGGATAGCTTCTTTTGCTAAGCAATTCTATTGTGTTACCTTATTGTGTTCGAATTTCCAATGAATGTACCAAAGAAAGTATTTTAAGTTTTATTTATTATACAGAGTGTCCCACGAGATACGCCTCGGACCATAACTCCATAACGGTGCAATTTTCAAAAATTTTGTGTGTCCTTTTTTATGTATATTCAAATAAGCCATCTTTTAAAATTAGTTTTCGAAAATTGCACCGTTATGGAGTTATGGTCCGAGGCGTATCTCGTGGGACACTCTGTATAAGTAAGTAGGTTGTAGGGTATAGGTTATAGGTAATGGGAATTGTTTATTTTTTATCAAACAATAAGTTTGCGTTTTTATCTGACGGTGTACCAAAGAATTTTATTTTAAATTCTTCATTATTTTATCGTTATTTATAATTTTTTAATAAAACTCTAAGAAATAAAAATCATTTGCTGATTTTTATTAAACAGTTATTTTATTTAACCTCACTGTGACACTGTGTATCAAAAAATGATATTTCAAGTTTTACTTAACATAGATTTTTAATTATTTTTATATTTTTATAAATTAACTACATAAATAATAATCAAGCTTTATGTGCTCAAATGTTATTTGTAGTTGGAATATTCATAAAGTATTCATATGTAAATGAATCCAGGTATTCGAATACAGCGGTATTCAAATACTTTTTTTTCTTTGTATTCGAATATTGATTATTCGAATACAATTTAGAATACAGTATTCAGGATTCGTATTCGAATACCGGATTTCAGTATTCGACCCAACTCTGCTGCATACTTTATTTTCTTAGTTATCATGTCTTATGACTCTAGACTAGAGGAGCGATAACAGATAGGTTTCATGGTTAAACGACATTGTTCATAAACAATGTATGTATTTTCTGTTTTCTAAGTGTGAGTTTCAGGTGAACTTGTCAAAGGTGAGATCTAGGAACTTTAAGTTTGTTGTTTTTAGAAGTGTTATCTCAATTACCTTTCTTTCTGTTTGTAAATAGGATCATTATATAGATACATAGAATAATTAAAAGACTGTATTAAATAATAAATGTTACCTAAAGTCATAAACGGCATACTGAAATCAACTACTTCTCGTCTTTCGGGTGTAATAGTTAAATCACAAACCGCAAGGTGGGCTCTCTGAAAAAGAAAGATATTTAAAATTAATTATTTATTTCAGTTCCTGCGTAATAAAACAAAAATAAAAACTTACAAACTTACTTTTTCTAGTATTTCTCCAATCAAACCGTTCCATCTGCGTTCTGTCGGATCATAATTTCCGTACTTTTCGGTTATCTCAAATTGAAAATTGAAACCGATAATTTTGGCAATACCTGCAATAAGATCCATCGAATATCCTTCATATCTATTATTGCCCGTCAAAATTTCTCCTTCATAAGAAGGTTGCCTATACATTAAATACGGTTCACCAATTCTAAAATAAAAAAGATTTGTAAATAGAAAATCGAGAATGTGATGATAGATTTGAATGTAGCAATTTCTTTATACATGGTGACACACGGGAACCGTCGATTTTGAAATAAGTATTACACAAAGAATTTGCAAGATAGTAAGGTTTTATTTACATCAGAATGAAGATTATACAATGCCATTTACTATGTGTATCAAGTATGGAAGATAATATCACCTAGATAGTGTCCGTCGCGTTGGATACAGTTTTCGACCCTCTTCCACAAATCGTCCATAACACGCTCCAACATCGCTCGATCAATATAATGATTTCCTGACGAATCGCATTCTTCCAGTCGTCCAAATTACAAGGCTTGTGAGCATACACTCGATTCTTCAAATACCCCCAAAGTAAAAAATCACAAATTGACAGATCTGGACACTTTGGGGGTCACGGCACATCTCCATAACGTGAAATGAGTTTTTCTGGGAAGCTCTTTTGATGGATTCGTGTGGCGTATCTCTATACCATCTAACTCAGGCATGTTACAAGCGATATTAGCGTTACTAGTGCTAGTGTTAATGCATTTTATTACCTATGATTTTAACAATAACAATTCACTGCATCCATATTTCAATGTCGTAATACGATACGAACAACATAAAAATACCATACAAATAAGATCATACATTCTTATAGGGATAATCATTACAAAATTTAGGATATTTATAGAAAGAAAATATTCGATAATGATATTTTATGGTAAAATAAAAACTTACCTTGATGATACTATGACAGTAATTTTTTGTAAATTCAAAACTGCTGCATCCATTGTTTGATTATAATCTCTATGTAGGACCAAAGAATTATTTGCAGCGTATGAAGTTGCTATGACTGTATCATCAATGTTATCAACTACATGAATATTAAAATCTATTCTACCACCTTCATCGTTAAACTTTAAAGGTCCTGACAAGGTCATGGAAGGGGTATTCTAAAAATGTTGGAAAATTTATTTATTTACGACAAGTTATATAACATAATATTGTAAAATAATATACAGTCATTAAAAACAGTTCACCGCAATATTTAATAGTATATGCCGTTCTGTTTCTTTTTAAAACCATGGTGGCTATTAAAGTTAATCATCGCTCACTTTGTATAGTAGTACTAACACTGTAAAAATTCATTTTGTTTGCAAAAAAGCCCTTAAAAATAAGATGTTGCCAAGTCGCTTTCTTGTTTTCTTTACATATTTTTTTTAGGCTATAAGATAAACATAACCTTATAAAATTAATGAATCTAAATTCTTTTTAGCAAAATTCATTTATTTATTATAATTAAATAAGAATTCAATGTTAAAATCAGTTATCAGTGAAGTAACGAAAAAATACCTAAAGAAAACTTATTTACATCATAAAAATGATATGCTAGAGTTGAATCTAGATGATATAATTAGAACTATACAGTACTCTAAATTTCACCAAAGTCATAAATTAGATTCAATAACTAACATAAATAACGTCACATTTAAATTATCAGTGAAATGCTTTTTACAGCCAATCAAATAACATTTTTGTTCATAATGAACTAATTATAAATTTGTCTAATTTCGCTGCTTAAAAAATGATATGAGTTATATTAACTAGATTATAGAAGATAAAGTTTTGCCTAGTTAGCATTTTTTTACATAGTTGATTTATATAAAAGTAGTTTAAGAATAGGGAAGTCAGTTCTTAGTTATCACAATGATCATAAACATATACTCTAATATTTTTAAATAAAATTAAATAATGCTTTTGAAATATTAATTAATTAATATTGGCCGTGTCTATTCATCGGGGCGCACCGTCAGATAGGAAAATATTTTCGAATATTATCGAATATTCTTGATAACGGGAAAATGGAGGCCGTAACAGACCCAAATAGGACAGAGAAGGATTTAAAGAAAATGAAGCGTAACCTGACTGGTCGAAAATGGCTCGCGTTACTAATAATAGCGTTTTTTTTTCAAAACACCAAATTTAACATAACAAAAATATTAAGCTATCTAAATGATCTCGTTATAATTTTAAATTCTAGGAATTACTTACGATTAACATGTATTTTCTTAATGTAAACCCATCTTGAGACGTTTCGGTCCTGTTACACGATAGAGGACTTATGTTTATTCCTGGCCTTATAGACATTGCGTTTACAGTATCAGTTAATAGAAGAACAGCATCATGGAATAGAACGGTTTCAGTCTAAAAAAAATAAACGTGCAAGTTTTATATTGAATCAAGTTTAAGTGCGGAAAAATGCTACCACATATTCCTAAGGCTTAAATATGACAATTTAACCCAACTTACCTCACTCCAAAAGTGGATGATTTCGGAAATACAGAGAGTTAAAAGTTCAATTTGATTTTAGTTTTTCATAAATAATTTTTTTAATAATTGGTGTATTTTCACAAAATTTGCATAGAAGGGGTTTTGTGGGGTGAAAAATTTAAAGCTGCTATCATTTTTGTTGTAAAATTTAAAGGGCGCTACCTGCGATACCTTACATACATTTAAAATGCCTGCTCAAATCACTCTTATCACGTAAACCTTTTTTTAGGTAAAAAACTTTGGAGATCAAGAATTTTTATTTAAAAGTTAAATCAAAAAATTTATTTCCTTTTAAATATGTACAAGGTACTGTAGGTGGCGTCCTTTAAATTTTACAATATAAATGAGAGCCGCTTTGAATTTTTCACCCCACAAAACTCCCTCTAGCCAAATATTGTGAAAATACACCAATTATTAAAAAAAATTATTTATAAAAAACTAAAACCAAATTGAACTTTTAACACTGTGGTGGTGTGACTCAGTAGGGACGCCTATGTGTGGGCAGTGCGCGACGAACGCTTACAGCGCAAGTGCGAGTGCAACGAAGGACGGAATCTGGTCCAGGGTTGCCAATCTGTGAGTAATTCCTCACATTTGTGAGTAATTTACTACTCTGTGAGTAATTTTGTGAGTAAAGGGCAATTGTGAGTAATATGTGAGTATTCGAGAAGTCAGCATGGGTATATTCATGGTGTTAGGCAAAATCCTGATCGGATAATTTATTAAAACCGTGTTCTTTTTAAAAATTTTAATATAAGCCTAATTTTACCACCCTAGCACTTTTAGCAGTCATTACAATTTTGTAGTTTTAAAATTGCAGCGTCCTCTATTGCTTGGTCAATGTAATAGAGTAAAAGTGATTTTGATATTTTACAACACTAGGTGTCGTGTCGATAGTGATAGTCCCATTGGAACTGTCCCAATCGTTGATTAATACCTTTTTTGTTCATTTTAAAAGTATATTTTTTATTAATAGATTTTTTTAAGTATTAGAATTAATTATTTATTATGATTCTCCAAACCTTTTTATCTGTGTTTTTTGTTCAGCTGATTACAAAGAAGTTTTATATATTTCATACATAACTATTCATAACTATTGGGACATAGGCTAAGGGCAGGTTATTTGTACCATTGTACCAAAATATGGCGATAGGGCCAAATATACCTTAATACAATATTGCTGTGGAATAAGATACAGGGCGTTAAATAATAATAGTAATAATTATTTTAAACTTTAAAGCAACTTTTCATAAATGAAATATTTTGGGAGTTGTTCAATTGCGTTTTTCTCGAAAACGGGTGAAATGATCTAATCAAAAATACTAAAAAGTTTCGTAAAAAAAGCTACCACTTAATTTCATCATCAGGAATAATTCACGTGGCGCCTCCTGTAACAAAATGTGAAATAATACATAAAATAATATTCCTTGTCAAAAAATATGCCTTTGTGCCAATTTTGATAACAATTCATAAATATACAGTGACATCAGAAAAAAACGAAAAAACAGAATTCAAATTTAACTCCCTGTATCTTATTCCACAGCAATATTTTATTAAGGTATATTTGGTACTATCGCCAAATTTTTGTCCAAATAACCTGTGCCTATGTCCCAATAGTTATGAATCAACCTGTACATTACTTGGTTATTAAAATAGTGAATGTACAGAAAAAAGGTGCATCAGTTTTGACTCTGAAAATTGCTCTTTTGATGTTTGGCAACATTGCACAGTAGTAAAATAAATTCAATCAAAAGTGCACGAATACAAAATATAGCATTTATATAAAAAAAACTAGTAATATTGATATTTTTAAGTTGTGAGTAATTGTGAGTAATCCGGAAAAGTTTTTGAGAGTAAATCGGTAAAGACCGGTTGGCAACCCTGATCTGGTCAGTTGAGCTTGGACCACGGAGTGGTCAATGTCAATGCTCGACATTAATTACGAACTCTGATTTATTTTTTTATGTTTACATAAAGTTGCCATCAGGGCATTGTAGTTTTTGTTTAAATAAAAAGTTGTTTGTGCCTTAAAAGTTTTCTGGTCCTTGGAGAACCCACATCCCACTTCAACACTATGTATTTCCGAAATCATCCACTTATGCACTGACGTAAGTTGGGTTAGATCGTCATATTTAAGCCTCAGGAATATGTGGTAACATTGCTCCCACACCATTTAGAGATACCTTGTATATTTATAACATACCTTAATAGAAAGAGGATCTAGAGGAACCCTTCTGTTATGATTTTCAAATTCCGTGAGTTCCCACCGATGAACAGTATTTAAAAAATCATCACTTTTTGGATCATGTAGCCTTATCGACGTTATATTCGCAGTTGTATTTAAATATGACAAATCTAATGTATGGGCGTCCTGAAAATATGAAGATTTAACAAAAATGAGCTAATAGTCTAGAAGTCTAGTCAACAAGTGCTTTTTGGGACCAACTTTTTTCTCCGCCTCCAAAATACGAGGTGTCATTTAATTAGAAATAGCATGTAGAACTGCTTGTAAAAATTGCAAAAGTTATAAACAATTAAATGAAAAAAAAAATAGGGTTTGGTTTTTGCAAATATCTCAAAAACTATTTGATATATTCCAAATTTGAAAATAGATTCATTATGTGGAGGAAATTTTCCACCAAAAAGTCCTACGTCCTGGAACTGCAGGACCAATATATTTTCCCAGAGGGTTGAAAATACGGCCGAATACGAAGCTTCTGGCTGGCGTAAGCTCCGCCCACTGTGGACTTTTATTGAATAAATATTATTTAAAGAGGTCCTTTCGCCACCCCTTTCGCCACCAATGTTAAATAAAAAATATTAGATTATGACCAAAATTTATTTTTTTTTTTTTTTTTTTCTAATAGTTGAAGTCCTTATTTATCTAATGTTGAACTTTTAACTATACCTTACCGTGCAAATTTTTGAGAATTTTTTTTTTTTAATGTGAGTATTTGTACAGTGTCTTACGAGAAAATAAGACCTCAACAACAATTCTCGAATTATATTATTATTTATTGATTAGATGGAGTAGAAAAAAACTAAAAATAGGGTTTTTGAAATATTTAGGTTTTGTTTTTTACAATAAAATATATAGGTTACCTTGGAATTTATTGAGAAATTAATATTAAAAAAAAATTTGAAGTAACCTAGTTGAACATTTTTTGTGATTTTTTAATATTAATTTCTCAATAAATTCCACGGTAACCTATATATTTTATTGTAAAAAACAAAACCTAAATATTTCAAAAACCTTATTTTAATCAATAAATAATAGTAAAATTAATTATAATTCGAACATTGTTGTTAAAGTCTTACTTTCTCGTAAGACACAAATTTCTCAAAAATTTGCACGGTAAGGTATAGTTAAAAGTTCACTATTAGATAAATAAGGACTTCAACTATTAGAAAAAAATTAATTTTAGTCATAATCTAATATTTTTTATTTAACATTGGTGGCGAAAGGACCTCCTTAAACTTATTGCATATGAAAATTACGAATTGAAAAAAATCAGGCAAAATAACCCTATGGAACTTACATCATAATCATAAAATAACAACAATATATCCCCTGAGGGGATATATCATGAAAATAACTTTTATTTTGCTTTTGCTTTTATTTAATTGTAATTCGCCCATTTTGCCTTCCACCATTCTGTTTTTCATTTTTACGAGGTTGTCAACATAGTTGTCAAACTTCTTTTTAAAATATCCTAGCAATAGTATGCAATAGTATGCCATTGTATGGATGGTGTCGATCTTGACAAAATCAAAGTAAGATGTTTGAAATAACTCTAATCTCATGAAAGTTTATGGAAACTGGCAACATCGCTTTCATCTTATTGCGATGGTGGCCCCAAATAGTATGCTGAGGAAGTAAATGTGTTACCAGTGCCGTGCATTTAAAAGGTTTATCTTACATATTAATTTATCTATGGTGCGCAAGCGACAACGGTTTAGAGCACAAAGCACTTATCTTCTAGAGACCCCACGCCAATGTTAAACTTTTAAACCAAATTAGCGCCACCTTGTCTTTGGAGCTGGAACTAAAATGACAATTGACAGATGGTGGTAAATTCAAATTGTAATTTTTAGGAGTAGGTAGTAGTTTTAAATTAAATTTTAAATGATTTCCACATAAATTATTTTATAAAATAAAGTATGGAACTAGTAAAAATAATTTAGGTCGGTTATACCAAATTTGAGGAAATAATTTGTTATAAGGGGTCTGATGTGGAGAGTTGGTTCTGCATATTATTATTAAATAAATATAAGATATATCAACAAATAAATAAATACATAGAACATTCTTAAAATATGTTTATTAATAACTTAAATAAATATTATTAGATAAAAATAAATACAAATAATAATACATATTTAACGAATACTTACTTGGAGCAAATAGATATATAATCTCAAATCTTTAAAATACCTATCAATAATTTAAATGTGAAGTAGAGACACTAGGATATTACATTTTATTAACACTAAAGTTATATATTTTATAAATGTCTTTTTAACCGAGGACAAATGTAATATAGGTATTGTATTAAAAGGTGAATCCTTTTAACTATTTATTCAATGATAAATAGGTATTTTCCTTCCAAATACCGATGGTGGTATTACTCTTTTATGTGAAAAATGATTTTGGAATCTAGTCCAGTGATAAATTGATTATCAATTAGTTGTTGTACCCGTTTGTCTTTTTATGATGCAGATGCATGGTGAATCAATGAAGTTCTTCTCGAAATTTTCAACGTAGCCCCAAAATTATTGCAAAACACAGTAGGAAATAGAAAAGCGAAACATCACAATTTTGCAAATAACTAAGACGAAACTATAAACAGAAACCAAAAGCCAAAGCCAACAAAAAATCACTAAAATCAGACGGAAAAATGAGACTAACCAAGAACATAAATAAATACACGTCTTTGGTTAAGTTTTTCTCCCATAAAGCTTAAAAATGGATTAAGAAATCATAATTTCACCAGTAGCCCCATCTAGAGTTTGGAGCAATAGCATAAAAAATGTCAGTTGTCGGTTTTGACCTTGGTCATTCACGTGGAACCTCTATGTGCTTTGTGGTTTAGAGTGACTAAATCAGAGCGAAGTTGAAGGAGCAGATGATTTCATTGAAAATCACTTGGATATGTTGGTTCCAGTAATCACTGTTAAGGCAGTGCACGAGTCCCAATGGACTGAATTAGAATAAATCTTCTATTAATTTTCGTTTTAAATATTTATTATTTATTTTTATCACTAAGATTTTAAATTACGGCAATATTCTCAAATACTAGTCTTTGCTAGTGATGATAGAGTGATGTTATTTGGATCTACCAACAGCTCGTGTTTAACGTTCATTTTTCTCGGAATATACTCATTCTGAATAGGGCATTCTTTTCTTACATATTGATGTTGTTTTGCTCTAGAGTATTTTGTGTAATCACCCTACAATCCTAAAAGAATCCCAATAACAAACTGATGACCTTGAGGTCGCCGCACACTTTCCATTGGTATTCTTTAAATTTTATTAAATTAATTAAAGTACACATCGTTTTATAGCTCTCTTTACAATTTACTGCGTGTCCTATTGGTATAGACGGTTTCTTATTTCCGTTGTGTAATAAAACAGCTTTTAAACTATATTTCGAAGAGTCTATGAATAAGCGCCACTTTGTTTTATCATAGTTTTGATTCATTGCTTCCAAAAGCCACAGGATATCAGTACAATAATATCTCTTTCCAAAAATTCTGAATAAACTTTGCTTGTTTCTAAAAAACGTAACTTTTGTGTTTGGTGTTAATAGCTTCCATTGTTGTAAGTAGGAACCAAGAAGATGTGCTTTAGATCTTGGCAATTGAAAATCTCTTCGGTATATATAATTCTCGACTTATTTTTCTTTTATTATTATATCCCAATATCTTCGTAACACAAAAGTAACAATCATTTTCATGATTACTAGTTTCTCTCCATAACATTGGTGAACCAAATGGAAGGTATACTTTTTTCCTGATGACCACTGGAGACGATTCTACAACTTTCGCAAAACACATAAAGCACCCACTTTTTATCTTGGTTTCAACAGGAACCAAGGCTCTAGAAGGGAGAAACGTCCCAGTAACAATATACCAATGGATCACTGCCTGTCTAGAGAAGAGGATTATTTTATCCACTCTAGGAAAGGCAACCATACAGGCAAAAGTTAACACGGGGCTGCCCACAAGGAGGAATACTATCTCCAATACTGTGGTCAGTTCTTGTGGACGACTTACTCAAAATATTGTCCAAAGAAGGCTACCAGTGCCTAGGATACGCCGACCGCAACAATGGAGGTATTATTAAATCTCACGCCACTGCACATCTTCATACAAGGAGAAACCAGGTCAGCTATTCACAGGCTAATGCAGGGACAAAACCCAATAAGCTAACTACATAGCGCCGACCACACAAGGCTATTTCAAATTCAAATACCAGCCCGAGAATCCTGGAAACAGGGACCTCCCGTACAGGCTGAACTCGTCTGGTACACAGATGGTTCAAAAACCAAGGAAGGAACCGGTGCTGGAATCTATGGACCTAAGTCGAAATCAACGATTTCACTGAGCTTAGGAAAATATGCAACAGTGTTCCAGGCTGAGCTAATAGCCATACAACACTGTGCAAGAGAAATATTAAATCAGCAAGTATCAGGCAAAACTATTGCCATATACTCTGATAGCCAAGCAGCTCTAAAGGCAATTCTCTCACCAGAAATCAAATCACGACTGGTGAAAGACTGCCTAGAAGACCTGACAGAGCTAAGTAGTCAAAATAAGGTGACCTTGGCCTGGGTTCCAGGCCATAAGGGATATCAGGGCAACGAAAAGGCCGACGAATTAGCCCGAGAAGGCTCAGATAATGCCATGACAGACCCCGAACCCTTCTGTGGAGTTGCTAAGGCACTGTGCAATGCATCCATTAAACAATGGATGCAAAAAGAGTCTCAGGAATGGTGGAACAACTATCCAAGACTGAGACAGGCCAAACAGTTCATCAAGTAACCATCGGCCAAGTTTACGAAAGACCTACTGGATCAAAAGCGTCAAATCATTAGGATAACAGTAGGCCTTCTTACTGGACACTGTCGCCTTAAAAGGCACATGAGTGTCATAAATCCAGCAGAAGAAGCAACTTTGTGCAGGTTCTGTGAAGAAGAAGAAGAAGAGGAAACATCATTCCACGTCCTGTGCCAATGTGAAGGCTTGGCTGGAATGAGGTTTCTAACATTGGGCAAAGAAAAGCCAATTGCATGCAACTACATGCGGGAGCCACTGTCAAAGCTACCAAGTCTAATAAAAAAGACCAGGCTAGACGACATACTCTAAAGCAAACGGAGTCTCACAATAGATCTGAAAAGGTCGCGGTGGACAAGGACAAATAACGTCCAACTCCTAATCTAATCTAAAAAAAAAAAATCTAAACAGGAAATCCAAAATAATAAAGATATGCACTTTTTAATGAATCTATAACAGGTCTTTCCTTTTTTGAAAATATAAACTGTCCACAAACATAACAAAAACGATCAGAACTTTGTTTACACTTTCTACTCGACATTTTAAATCAATCTGAAACAAAATATTAGGTTGTAGCATAAGTCTTTGCAATATTGCGCAATAATTTAGTTACAACTACTTCAAGCGGTGCAAATTGACATCTTCTTAATGTGGGACAATAATAAATTAATTTTATGTATTTATATTATTAAATAAATTTAAAATAAATGTTATGTTTTTGCAATTAATTAAGCAACAACCCAATAATTGTTATTTGAAGCGAACGAATAAACAATAAACTGTCGTCAGCACGTTGGGTAGAAAGAAATTGTGACGTGATATAATATTTCTGCTAACACTTTTAGGTCTAGCAAAGGTAGGTAAACATTTTTATATACATTTCTTCCCGGGTATAAAAAAAAGATAAAATTTGTAAACTAGTGTAATTATTGTATAAAACATTCATATGACATGGTAAGTATACGTCATTAACAAATATTGGCCAAGTAGGCACACCAGTTGTCTAAGTCCAGCTTAAGTTGTTACTTACCAAAGATGTTATGAAATATCTATTGTGCAGTTCAAGCATTCCAACCTCCTTAGCTTGAGTTAAAATCATCATAATTTTATTCGTGTTACAATCTAAGATGATATTATCCTCTGTCGTGTTTCGAATTTTTTTAAGAAGTGGCCTACAAAGCAAAAATTTTAATTATAGAGATTTGAAAGAGTACCAAAATATTTAAAATAGTAAATTTTATATAAACTACTAGGTACAACTTCGTGACCAAGCATTACCAATTCAAAGCTAGTTAATTTTTTAGCAAATTAATTTTCCTGCGTCATTTATACATATTTACAAAATAATCATCGTGTACCAATCTGTAATATGTGGTCGTGTTTATTTGTTTATGAAAAATATTTAATAATACAAACAGTGTTGGCCTTAGGACGCAACCACACCCATGATCATCCGACTTTAAGGGCGCCATTTCTGAATCCCAAAAATGTTCCTCCTATTCGCGTTAGGGCGCAATTAAAAGTTTTGCCTTAGACCAACTCTGCCTACAAGTTTACACGACAAAAGCCACATTGCCTGTTCTAATGACCTTGTAGTTATTTCCCGCTACAGAAAGAACGCGCTCTCTAGTTCTGTGTAATATATCTTTTCTTCTTTATACGAACAACAAATGGTTCAAGTAATCAACTACTTTTGACAAGAACGAAAAATACTCAAATATTTTGGTTAACTTCGACAAATAGATCCTTTTCTAGCAAATTGGGGGTCTATTCCCAGAGTCATTCCGTGCTTTATAAAGTGAAGAATGGATTTTAAACATAAATTAAGCCAACTGTAGGCCTTAGCTTCCATATATACGACTGATGCAATGTACATGACTTCTACTGGAGGTTTTATTAATGCTCCCCCATCAAAATAGAATTTATGTCATCGTACAGGATCAAGTGGGAGTAGCAGAAATTTCCAAGTAGAGACGCATGGTAAGACGATTTATAATAATTTACAGATGGATCTATAAAATTAAAAGTATAGAAGTCGGCATCTGTGAAATTTTATCTACCTACACGTATTTCTAACCTGTAATCCGGTCCTGGCCCTAATTGCATCACTAGTATATTGTTCTGTTTGGAATCAGGATTCAGTTCCTGCAATTTTAGAATTTCTTGCATTCTGATCAAACCTTCTTCATTTTCATATATAATAATAAAACTACTCCATTGTAAACTTCTCACGATATCTGCCAAACCTGGAAAATACACACTATATTAATTTAACCTCTAATATTAAATATAATATTACAGATAAACAATAGGTACCTATCTACCTGTCTCTGGAGGCGATTAATAGAATTAAGACATTTACAGGTACCTCGCAGCAACGTTATCACCCAAATTGGTACTGCAAGGTTTTTGACGAGCTGAAAGTCAGTACCTATATGCCCCCCGGATAATTCACAATAGACATAGTGAGGTCTAAATGCAGTGAACTAAGCTCGCTCTCTAAAAAGTTTGTTTTCTTTTCGACACGTTTTCGCTAATGAAATCAGGAGTTGGTTCAAATCGTCAACATTTCCAGATCAACGTGTATTCCATACACTAACAGTCTTTTTCTGCGAAGACTGCTCCATTCGAAAAGAGCGCTTACCTGAACGATTTAAATTGTCTCATGATTTTTTTCGCGAAAGCCCATCTAAAGAGAGTGGTACCTATATCTAGCGAATACTACTATATTAAAGTGCCAATGACTGTCCATGCCGCGATTTTGGGATAGAGAAAGCCAAAACCTTATCGGACTCAGATATAAGCTAGGGACACTTAGAGAAGCAAAATGTAATTTTTCTGTTCGTCGATAAATATAAGCACTTAAAAAAACCAATATACAAGGTACTTTTCAATTTAATCTAATCTGTATCTTCAAACGTTTACGAGATATTCATTATCTGAATATTTATGTTGTATCGGGTTAAGATAAAAAGTCGGTCTGCATGCATTTAATCTTGTTTTTTATGATTACAGCTATTAATATTTTGGAAGATTTAATGATTTAGGTGATTTGTGAATGCTTTGGTATTTTATCTATATAACCAACAATATTACTGATTAAATTAGCTTAAAAATGCGTAGACTAATAATAGCTTTATTGCACAATATATTGTTATGCAGGTTTTTGGTATCTCAATTTATTTAAACTCAACTTTCACAATAACGATACAACTTATAACATTAACATGTAACGTCTATCATAAAAACTGAAAACTGACGTCAGGATCATCCTTATATAGCTTATCGAACTGTCGTCCAAAATATTCTTGACGGGTAATGACATTTCCAGATATTTCTGGACTATTCTATCTTCTTTTACTTGTAATTTTACTTAGGACAACCGCAACACACTGTAGGGCGATGAGTAACATTCCACTTCTTTTTCTGTCTGTACGTTTCCTATAATAGCCGCAGGCTACTGGAGGGTGCTGCGTAATAATATGTATATTCCAACAAATCAATAATTTAGTAAATATTACAAAATATATGGATATTATGAAAAAAGTGACTACAAAATAAATAAATAAATATAAAAGATAACAAAAAAAAAAAGAAATTTTGTATGTGTGGTCATAATTGGTACAAGCAAGTACTTTAATAGTATCCAAACTCGGTGAAGGTATTTGAAGAATTACTACATAAGTTAAGCTTAATAGAATATTTATTCTAGATTTATTACAGTAAAAAGTTAAATTATGTATCTCCATCTACATTCGGTAAACTTAACCCAACTTTTTATTGATAATTTGGCGACTAAGAATACTCGTGTAGAGATAATTATTATTGTTATTGTTGGTATTTTTATAAAAATGAGCGACGAAGACAGTATTCCGTCAAGTAGTGATTCGAGTGATTACGAAGAAGACGAGTTTTTTTGTAATGTATGGAGAGCCCAGAAAAAAACGAAAACTATTTAGGTAGGCCTTTCATAATCATGTATAATAAATATTTTTATAAATTCTACTGATACTTTTTTTCGGGGCTATAGCCAGCGGACAATTTACCCAACCTCTAATGTCATTCATGACAATTTCTATTATAAGCGTTCCCAATAGAACAAAACTTTTTATCAATTTGTAACGCAGTTCATGTATGACATGCGCTTAGGTCAGTTCAAGTACTAATTGCAAACTAATCGTAACATCTAATTGGGAACAAACCTAAGATATTTTCTAATTTTGACTTGATTATTTATAAAGTTGTGTTGAAAAATTATTCATCATCATTCTTCTGTAGGTACTTTCAATCAAATATTTCAGAAAATTGTTGTATTTGATTGCACTACGACGTTTTTTTTTAATATTAATAATAAAAATAAGGGACATGTGCAGTGTTGCCGACCTGATTTTTGACATTACCCTCGGGAAATTTAAAAAAAAAGTTTTTACTCATTATCCTTAAAGGAGTACGTCAAAATTTTACCCCCAACATTTCTGGGCAGTTTCCAATAACGGTGTTCAATTATTTAAAAAATAAAACGCAATTTACAGCTTTTCTTTTTTTTTCTTTGTTGTTGTTAAACGTAATGTCATATTTTCAAATGTGAAATGTCACCATTCATTGTCTTTTTTTTTAGGTTTTTGGTTTTATCGATTTTTCTTTTTTTGGATTTTTCGATTACTGGATTTTCGATTTAAGTTTCTTTTATCTCCGTCACTTTTCGCACTTTTATTATAAATAAAACTTTTAACAACACATATTGGCATTTTCAACGTTAATTTCCAAAATTTAGGTCACTAAAATACCAAATTAATTCTCGTTGGCATATTAAATTTGGATGGACAACGCTCTGACATGTGATGTTCTCAACTGTGATTTGTGGGTGTGAATAATTTCGAAATGGAATTATGCGCAGTGTCTTATGTTCCATCTAAGGTTTGTATAATCTAAGATTTTTACCCAATTATCGATGTGTCTGTTATCATAGTTGAGACGAGTCTAAAGGATCCTTGCCGTGTCGGCGTGGTTCCAAACCGTTACGTCTCGCGCAATCATTTCGCGCAAGCATATGACCTACATATTTCCTTTGCCCAGTCATTATTATTGATTTCAATAGAGGACTTCTATACAAGGGAAGGGCAACCAACTTGACAAAATAAAATTGACACTAATGACATAAGAAATCGGGTCACATAAAGAGACTGTTTTTTAGTTTGATTTTTGGTTTTTCCTATCTACATTCATGCCATTTGCATACCTTGTTGTACCCGTAACGTGAAAAAGACTTTTAGTTTAGGGTATTTTACATCTAAAGGTTGAAATATTTTGTCATTGTCAGCTGTCAATTATGTTGATGATAGAACACAGGCGTAACCATAGATGGGCATAACGTAACTAGTATTGTATGTTGGTTGTATATTTTATAGAAGCATTTTGCAATCGACATAAATAAATAAAACCAAATGAAAAATAATATTTTAGGAAAGCAGGAGAAACACAATTAGACTAATAACAACAAAAAATAAAATGCAATGCTACGCTTATGTTTTGACATTATCTACAGCTGATATTGATAAATGTTTTCAACCTTTAAATGTAAAATACCCTAAAATAAAAAGTCTTTTTCACGTTACGGGTACAACAAGGTATGCAAATGGCATGAAAGTAGATAGGAAAAACCAAAAATCAAATTAAAAAACAGCCTCTTTATGTGACCCGATTTCTTATGTCATTGTCATTAGTGTCAATTTTATTTTGCACTTCCCTTGTATAGAAGTCCTCTATTCGTGCATTTGTATTAGATAACAACCGCGCTGGTTATTTTCACTTTATTGACTTTGCCAACCTTGCTATGAGCAGATACTTAAGTTAACGTTACAGGGGCGGTTAAAAGTCATTTCCGCTATTATGATATTTTTGTTCTGTGTTGGAAACATATTTTTCATAATGTTGATCCTACGAGAACATTTTGTACTCATCTTTAAAGTTCTGTTACAAGTTTGGTGCTAGAGCATTTTGTTGTTTTTTATTTTTAAATAAAATTTTTGTGATTTATAATAAATAGTCTAAAATTCAGATCCATAATTATTATTTTTATTTCCTTATGGTGATGAGGTACCACATAATTACACAAAATATTAGTAAAATGCATTTATGGTTTATAAGTAGTACTTGGTTATATTCAGGATGAAAATTAGTAAAAAAAATAGGATTTGAATGTATACCAATTTAACAACGATTATGGTGAGTAGTGTATAGAAGATAAAACTAATAAATTCATAATATATTTACCTTTTGCGAAAAGTTCTGCTTCGGGAAAAAAATTAATCAAAGCTCTGACTTTCTCTGGATCCCGTTTTATAGGAGACGGAGATTTCCAGTTGGTGATTAAGAATGGAATTTCGAAAAAGGTGCAGGTTGATTCTAAAATCGGAATTGTTCTTATAGAATCTGAATAAACCGCCACCACTCCTAAGTCGGAATCCAACATGGAACACACTAGAAATAAAAAATACAGATTTTCTTACTATTCATATTTATAATATACAGGGTGGCTCACGCTCAACGGTACGGAGCTTTATGGGAAAACTACCAAAGATATAAAAAATTCGTTTAGGAGGAATACGTAGGTTACAGACGGCTACAATTTAAAATTTGTTAGATGTATACAGGATGTCCCACATAAGAGAAAATATACAAAGTTATATTATTTTTAATGGAGCACCCTGTTTTTTATTTTAGAATTAAAAACTACATCAAAAATAATGTCAGTTAACTAAAGGTTCCCTATTACTATTATTATTAGTTTTCGATTTATTTGAATTTTTAAGGAAAAAAAATGTCCCAGAAATTAATTGTTTACTCTTGTTTGAATAATTTTTAATGAACTAATTTTTTTTTCTTATGTGGGACATCCTGTATACATCTAACAAACTTTAAATTGTAGCCGTCTGTAACCTACGTATTCCTCCCAAACGAATTTTTTATATCTTTGGTCGTTTTCCCCACTGATCTGTATTATTTTACTGGATAGGATATACCCCCTAAAAAACGTTCCGAAAAATTGGCCGATTTGGGCAAATAATATGGCGGACCGGATGTTATTTAACGTAACCTCTATTTCCATTTGTCATTTAATTGTGTCAACAAGCTACGATGAGATGTTTTTATTGTGGAAAACAAAGTAAAAAGAGTATGAAATAAACAATAAACGTTCATTCCTGAAGACACAATATGCTTCACGTTTCCATTTTTATATTTTCTTTCATAAAAAATCAATCATGGGTGAATTTTCCCGAAAGACATCGCCCGCAAAGGAATAGAAGAAGAATAAGAAGAAAAAATAATCAAATTATAGGTTACGTATGTCAAATTATCCCAAATTTCAGTTCTGTGAACCCACCATAATTTGCCCAAATCGGCCAGCATTGTTGCACTTCCGGTCTCCTTGGTGGAACGGTTTTTTAGTATGTTAAATATAGCCTATATCCTATCCAGTAAAATAATACAGATCAGTGGTTTTCCCATAAAGCTCCGTCCCGTTGAGCGTGAGCCACCCTGTATAGAAATATTAGATAGTTACTTACGTGTTAAACTTGCTTCAAAAGTATCTGTAGACGATACTTGCATCATTTTAGTAGAAAAATAAGCTCTCTGGTCAAACAGATTTTTTTTGTAAATTGTGCTGTTTAGCGGAATATTTATTTGTGAACTTAAATCTTCCAGAAGTACGCCTAAAACAAAAAAGTAACTGTTCTTAGAAAGACAACTAATATAAAAGTGTAATGTAACTATTCTTTATTACGTTTTAAAATTAATTTAATTTACCAAACGCAAAATATTGGAAATTAGAAAAAAAGCCTGTCGCCGCCGAGATTTGAACCCAGACATCTTATTTGTTCTGTTAATAATTCGTAGGGGGATTTTGAATAATACTGGTGTACGTGTTGTTCCTCACGCTCTGAAGACAATATATTTAGCTTGTATTGTATCTAAAGCGAGATCAGATTATTTATAGGATATTTAATACACATTTCTTGAATGTGCGGGCTCTAACACAAATTGGTTGAAGAGGGGAGGTTTGTAAAAGGTTATATTTAAATTTAAGATTATATTATAAAATTTAAACAGTTAGTAACTGTTATATAGCAATTATTCAGTGAGTTTTGGGATTTGCTGAAAGGATTTTTAGTTTTGTTGTATTATGAATTTATTTGAAATTTTGGTGGCGCCTTGATTAGTTAGATTACAGCTGCTAGTTACCAGTGGTAGCTGGGTTTCATTTTCGTTATTTTCATTGATAGGTTGATTTGCTTGGTTTGTTGAATAAATACCTTTCACAGTCAACTAGTGAATGTTGGGTTTGAATTGAAATAAGTCAAAATAAATACCTTGGAGAGACAATAACTTTGAGAAGCAAAATAGCTTCAACATATTATATAAATAATTCGTAATGCATATAAATTCGAGGATGTTGATAGACTCGTATACTTTACAAGAAAGTCAGCGACACTTCAAAGTCACCTGTTATCATCCTAGTCTATCTATAGGGCTCCTATTATACCAACCTTAGAGATTCTACTGATTCTACTGTCTAAGGGTGAAAATACAATTACCACCGAGGGCTAAACTGCTGGTGTACTATGGTGTACAAGCAAGCTGTATTATGTGTACTATTTGTGTATTTTGTACACTACCTGTTACAGAAGCGAAGGCTTGCGTCTTGCGTCGACACTTTGATGTCGGGGTGGTCAAAATTTAAAGTGACACTCGGTGACAGTTGACGTTTTTGCCGGTTGTTACACGGGTAAAAATGAACAAGATTCTTATAAATGCGGATAATACATTGAGAAATGGATTTAAATATCTGGAACAAACCTATTTAACAACATCCACTCTTTCTTCTCTGAATTGAAGGTTAGTGATATAATTAGAAAAATAAAGATTCCCAATAATTAATTTTGGAGTAAATTGTACTGATCACTAAACTAAAAAATCTGATGTGTCCAACACATGACTTTCCTATCTAGTTATTACAGGCTTTTTCCGATTATTTTGTACAACCTATTGCAGCACCTCTATAAATATTTAGAGGATAAACTAAATATATACATGTTCCACATACATCTACCTCGAAAAATTTTTCTATAGATATTCATTGAAAACGAAAATACTGAAAAATTTAAATTTAGCACTTTTCCTTTAATACGGTCCATTTTATAAAAATCGTATAAAAAACAAAAATTATAGAGATCGATATCACAAATAACTTTTATTTAAACAATTTTCCTAAAAATTTGAATTTTATTACATTTTGTCAAATTTCTCGAATACGGACCATTTAAAAAAAATTGTATGGAACCAAAATTATAGATAATACTATTGTAAGTAATTTTTATCTGAACAATTTTCTTCTCCAAACATAAATACCAGATATATTCCATAAAATATAAAAACGGCCTCCCATAAAGTACCCCCCAAATGTTCCGCCTTTGTCCAAAATTTAATAATTTCACTTCAGGCCGAAATAAAACTTAAGATTAAAATTTAATGTTTTTTCCTTTATCCGTTTTTGAGTTTTCTTCAAAATTCGAAATTTATACATTTTCTCAAATATCTCGAATACGGTTTATTTTACAGAAATTATGTATGGGATAAAAATTATAGAGAATTATATTACAAACAACTTTTATTTAAACAATTTTTATAAAAACATATTTTTTTTACATTTTGTCAAATTTCTCGAATACCGACCATTTTAGGAAAATTGTGTATACACAAAAATTATTGATAATAATATTATAAGTAACTTTTATTTGAAGAATTTTCTTCTATAAACGTAAATAACGGATATATTTCATAAAATATAAAAATTACCACCAATAAAGTACCCCCCAAATGTTCCGACTCTGCCCAAAATCTAATTAGTTCACACACTGACACACAGACACTCACACACAGACATCATTCCGAAAATAGTCAAAACGGATTCAGGGGACCCCAAAACGTAAAAATCATTATTCCTATACTTCCCATATCTGTATACAGATAGGAAAGTAAAAATGGAAATAAATCCCAAACCGTTAGAAATTGCGCACGCGCCTCATAAAAGAATCACCAACCGTTGTAAACTATCTCTACGAACAAACCTATTATCATTTATTAAATAAACTTGTTTGTACTATTCTTTATTTGTTTATGTTTTTTTTTAATATTCTTCTGTAAACAAGTTATATGAAAAACTTAATTTTATTTAAAAACTTACCAATAGTCACGACGGTCTTAGAGCAATCAATTTTATCTACACCATAAAAGAAGAAAAACAAACTAAACAACCACCTCCACATTTTCACCTCCATTTCTGCATCAACGTAAAAAAACTGGTTGTTGCATTTCTGGTAAGTCAGGAAATAACATAAATTTCTGTTTTTCTAGAAACTTAGTATCGATAATGCCACTGTTTGGCAGTCTTAGTTGGGTATCGGCCAAAGCTTAATTTCCAGCCGAAACAAAAATAGAACATTTTTTTCGTTTGTGTGAATGATACATGAATTATGTCGACTCCTATACATGACCTTGAGGAAGAATTCTGAATTTACGAAACTCACTGTTCTCTCATTATTCTATTTTACTCGCTTTTATCTAATTTAGCTTTTTATTTGTTAGAGACTTAGATAATATAATAGCAGATAGGCCACCACTGCATAAAGTTATACAATATTAGGTAATGTCATTGAAATAATATAGAAGACCAATTATAAACATAACATTTAAGCAGAAATTGAAACCTACTGTGCATAAAAACGCGTCTCTGCGCCTGACATCGCAAAATAGTGTGTCTAGAAGCTTGCGCAATATGCATGACTTGTCCCTGTAGTGTTGCCAAATATATTAAACATACCTAACAGAAAAGAATTTTAAATTAATTAATTTTTAAATTATATGATTTAAACAGTTTATATCTACGAAATATCGCCACAAAATAACTTATACACATTTAAACAATCAACTAATAATATTTATGTGTAATTACATTCCCAAAAATATATACAAATACCGTATTAATGTCATTAATACCGTATTTTTAATGTTCAATAAGCGATTCACCTACAAATTCAATATTGACCTGGCAATAGCACTAAAATCCGGTGTTTCAAGGCTATATGACGCTGCCCTTACAGGACCGTTTGTAGTTTATTATTTATGCCGCGTTTGAGAATCCACATCGGATGCATCTGAGATGTAGTAAGTAGTAAATCTTTGATCACGTGATTCAGTATACGTAAATGTAATGGGACAGATGTGTCCGATGTGGATAAAAAACGCTCGAGATGTAAAAAATGCGTCCGATGTGGATTCTCAAACGCGGCATTAATTACACGATGAAAGTGGCATTTTATTTTTAGTTTTGTGTAGTGTTTAGTCAAATCCTAGGTACAATAAAAGACATTTTTACATTGGCTAATGAAAATGTAATCAATGTATTAGGCAGCTGTTATATTTATTACAAGATTTATGTCTGCAAATCTAAACCTACCTAAGAATTATAATTATTTAAATAGAGAGCTGTATATTTATATACAGGCTGCCCAGCGACGGGGAGACATTATCGATATCGGTTTTAAGGCATTTTAAAACATAAACCCGATCTCAACAATCTTAGGAACTCTTCTGTCACTCGATATTTTAATCGGTACTTCCTCTTCGCTTTTTGGCTGGCACAACAATTATTTACATTTCTTCATTCCTTACCGCGTTCGAACCAGTAAGGTTTAAAGAAATTTAAAAAAAACCTACTTTAAAAATAAAGATGTTAATGATTTTCTTATGGATCCCATCTTCAGATCTAGACTTAATGTATATAAAACTGTTTCCTTTTCTAACAAAAATAATCCTAGAAATCGGCCAACGTGGTAAAGAATTATCGCTCAACATACATAAAAAAATATTTCAACGAATTGAGAATGTCCTACCATTTTGAAGTATGTTAAAAAAAATTGTTAATAAAGTGAAAAGTAGGGCATGAACATATATTATAAAGTATATAAAATGACAGATAAATCCAGTTTAGAAGGTATTATAAATAAACTGTGGAAATATATTTAGTATGAAAGCTGATCAAAATGAAACACATGAACGACAAACTGTTATTGACAACTTTCTTCAAACGTTTTCTATTTTTCCGAAAACTAACTAGATAGTTCGAAAATCATTTCCTTCGTTAAAACGCCTCTTGTTCCGAAAAAGGTACACGCCTGCCAACATTCATCGTTCATTAAAAAAGTGGTAGATACAAAACGCTTCGTATTGTAAGGCCAAAATATATTTAGAAATCGAAATAGTCATATAAACAAAAAAATCATATGAGTGAGATAACTACCAAATTAATGATTTACAAGTTTATTCCTATTATTTATAAAATAGGTTTGCAATGTGCTGGTGTGGAATGTTATCATCGACTAAAAACTTTAAATCTTTGTATTAAATTGATCGAAAACAAACTATAAATTGGTTTAGGCTATATAGAATGTTTCTAGTAAGCAGCAACTAATTTTTATTATGGAACCGAAAGACCCTTTTAAAAAGGTTCAAAATTAAAATAAAATATGTACCAAGTATTTTTTAATTTTTTAATTTATATTGAAAATGGTAACATGAAAGGTTTTCTGTCTAACGACTCATAGTGTCGGCTGACAAAATGTAAAAAAATATCGAACATAATATTCCTGGGCCCTATTTTGCACTCCCCAGATTAAATTTAGTTGTAGCAAATGATATTATCAAATAAGATGTCAAATCACAAGCAAAATCTCGTGACTACAGTACTAATGATTGCCTGTTTGGAAAAGTATCTTTGTTTGTAAATATTTATATGCATAGTTATATTTAAATGCGCGAGTGTAATGTTAAGTATAAACAAAATCCGCCCATTGTGTATATACATTTAGTTACCGACCCTAGTAGATAGGCAATTTATTATTGTTTTAAGTTTTACCGTAGGGAGAGAGAAAATCAATATTAGGATAAATGGTCCAGCTCCTTTCTGGTTACGTAGGTACCTAAAAAGTATTTTAGTTTTTGGTTAAGTAATTAATTATTGTAACAGTGATTTTCTTGTGATAGTACCTAATTTAGATTGTGGATTAAAGTTTTTGTATATAATTTCGCTGTTTAATAATAAACGTAGTCAAAACCGGAGCACGTGGTTTTTCTGGAAAGTATTTTTAAAATCACAAGCAAAATCTCATGACTACTGTACTAATGATTGCCGAAAATTAACTAATTCATATTTTATGCCATATCTTTCTTAATAAGGACTGTCAGAACCATATTTACCTTAACTTGAAATTTTTTTAATCGTTTTTTGTATATAATCATCTCTAAAAATGTATGATTGAAATATCGTGCGAACTATTTGTTCGATCAATAAAAAACTTGCACCGGTCCTGTTCGCGCCAGCACCGTTATACGCATGAGCTCCGACACACTATTTTCTCCTTATGGTTTCATTTTTGATATATGGAATCGGCTTTCTATGCTATTTCTATGGGTAATGTCGCTATCATATAATCAGTATCTCTCTTTCTAATGAAGGCTTTCTCACTCGTTTTAGAATTCTCAGCAGTAGCGTATCGTAAAACAATTTCGCTGGGTCATTTTAAATGCGAAAATGTTGACCAAGTAGAATATAAAATAAAATGTTTTAAAAGGTAGGTGCATTTTTAATGAAGTGAAAACAAAATATGACTTTTTTGTTAAGAATATAATATTAATAACAATTACTTTTAACACCACAACACGAACAAATTTAAATTAAACACTGGAATAATTGTCTGAGAAAAGCTTTGTCAAACTGACAAATACAAATAAAGAGATAGAGATATTAATCTATTTCTCTCTAATTAGAATTTTCGACCATATTATCATGGCGACACAAACATTGTTTATTGTCCTCTCTTTACTACTTACTTACTCTGAGGTTAGAGATTTATATTTCATAGATAAGCCAGTCAGTTGCTAGTATTTGATACTGTCAACATATAAACACAAATAGTTTGTAGTTATATTAAATAAACGATTTTTAAAAACGGAATTAAAGTTATTACGAGTTTATTGGCACAGTCAGTAGGATATACGGGATTCATTTGTATCGAACATATCGATTTTCGTTTCTACGATTTACCGTATATAGACCATTCAATATAAAAACCGATACACGTCATCAATCAGTTGTGAAGTCATAGCCTTGCAGTGTTGCCCAATCTACGAAATAGTCTAAGAATGTAGGAATTTTTAAAACTATGAGGTTATGGTTTTTTAGCTATGTTATTAGGAACAATTAATTTTAAATGTATAATGAATTCTATGTAAAAGCCAATGAAGGTCATTGATAATGTTTAAATTGAAGTTTTAGAAAAACACTGAATTTAATAGTAATAAATTTTGCAAAAAGGTTAGGTTAAGGATAAAAAAACAAACAAATTTTATTTAGGCTTGATTTGATTTACAATAAAAAATAATTGAATCGTTTATTTCAGAAACAACCTAAGTCACTTTTTAAGGATTTTCAGGAGGGTAAAAAAAAATGTTTTGAATAGGAACAGCACTGAGGTTGTTTCAGAAATAAACAAAAATTTTAAATTGTCTTATAACTAAGGATGTTTACTGAAGTTGAGTTCTTTCTGCATTAAACCTGTGATACTCTGAAACTACAATGTTAATGTGATAAACCAAATATGGAGAAAAAGTGACTTATGTTGTTTCTGAAATAAACGATTTAATTATGTTCAGTTAGTTTATAAACATCCATATTTAAAAGAAGTAACAATAATTAGAACAGTTAGGTAATAAAATTAACAACACATGACATTTTAAAACTTAAATAATATTTAAGCTAAAATCAGTCAGAATAATCAGAACTAAAATCAGAATCATCTCTATTTGGTGTTATAATAATGGGAGCAATTTCCAATCGGTCCAGTATATGCTCTCTTTCACACCATCTAAAAATTTCTTTTTCAGTGTGTCTTATACTGTTTGCCCATATTTGTGGGGTAATGGTTCGAAGTGCTTCAGACCACATGTCTATATAATCTCTTTATGTCTTTCCATCCCGACCAATGTGCCTGTTATAATATTGTTTTGAAATACCCCAAATCAGTTCTATTGGATTAAAAATACAATGGTAAGGAGGAAGACGTAACACCTTATGTCCATACTGTTCAGCCAGCATATCAGCTACATATATCTTTGGTGGTTTATTACTAAAAAAATAAAATAATTTAAAAAATACAGAAAAAGTAGATTTCCATTACTCACCGTCTAACAAGGTTCAAAACTTCAGCCTTAAACATGGTGA